TCTTTATGGATCTCCCTCCCGGGTTCTTAAGGAAATAGTTCGAGCTTCCATATTGCCATAATAATTCCATAACTATTGTAAGTAAAAGTAAATATGTAATAGTAAAGTAGGTAGTAACATAAAATCTATGAAATCTGGGAAATCTAAATATTGTTATCAGAGACATCTATCAATAAATAGTCAAACTATGGCCAGAATGAAGACAAGATGGTTGCTAACTTAATTTCTGAGACGTACTTTCTGTTTGTTGGCAATAGATGGCGATTGGATAGCAAATTTAGGTGGCATGGCCTCTAGCAAGTGTATGTCGGCGTTAAGCCAGGGTTTTACACATAAGTTCTTTTACAATGAAAATACAATACAATTCTATAAAACTTTAACATTACTTTGTTTACAACAAAAATGCACGCCTGAGTTATTCAGTGGTTCTTACACAATTAACCATTTTGTGATTGATGGTTATAGCAACTACAACTTCATTTATACAAACAAATGTAATTACTGCGAAACAATTCACAAAATATAGCTTAATATTCACAATACATATTTTAGTGATTTTTACATGACTAACATTTAATTTATTTTACATAAATTACTTTTAAGTAATATTAACTAACATTGTTATTATCCAGCCTAATAATAGATGGCGCCAACAACATCATTGCATAACAATTACAATACTTAATTATTACTGTTAATTATAATATAAATTATTATCAATATTTATGCTTTATTAATATTTAATTATTTATACAGTCATTTGTGTTTTTAAACAATAATATAAACATTAAACATATTCTGAACATTTTTACATCAAAACAGTGGCTGCTAATTATTAAATATGGTAGAATAACAGTATCTTGCTAATAATAAATAAATATAATAAACTAAACTATATATCATTATGTTAATTATTGCCAATAGTGGCGTGTGCGCCCATATGTATTATCTGAACATTTCTCAAAATTATTGCAGGATAGACTTTAGTCTCTGTCCCATTTTGTTTTTTTGTTCCGGCTAATATATTAGGTCATTACTACTTATTATAAATTGTCTAAGCAGTAAAACTACTGTACTTATTAGAAAGAAAAGAAACAGACATAAATACAATAAGATTTTTTCATTAAAAACACATATATTTGTCTTCTATCTAGTATTGAATCGGTAACCAACCCTTGAATGAAAATTTCAGTCATTTTGAAAAAAAGTTCAATTTAATAAAATTATTATATTTGTACAAATAAATATATTTGTTAACATGTTGTCTTGGTAATTTTCGTTATTATACACTTTAATTTATCGCGTTTTTTTGTTAATTTTAGCATCTTATTTGTACAAGTAGAATAATTTTTGATGGTACAACAGAACAGCATAAATGTATAGTCAGCTGCTCAGCACAGCGCTGTTATGAAAGCAAAAGCAATGGTCGAGCTAATAAACCAGTCTCTTAACTAGTTCGAGGAACATTCTATCTAGTTATATTGCATAATATGCACATACTTAGCTATCTCGCCGATTTAATTGCAACTTTAAGGATACAACAACAATAGGAACAAGAAAAAATGTTGGAATTTGTCACGGTATTGAGTATGTGAGACACGGTATTAAGACTTGATAACTCATTGAAAAGTACTGATAAAAATATTGTTTTTTTTTAAATCGTCCTACGGTGAATCTGAATTCAATTCTATCTTTTTAGGGCCCCGTAGCCAAATAGCAAAGGCCTTAACTGGTCGATCCTTCTCAACGGGTCGTGATTCCGATCGATCCGGTAGTAGGTTCATTCCCGAAGCAGTTGCTCTTGAGTTTTTAGGTCTCCTTCGGAGGCGCTCGGGCAGTTGTTATCTAATCTCACCCCTCCTGGCTGAGCCTTTGCTCGCCCACCTGTCCTGGTGAAACTGGAAAGGCCTCCGGGCCACCAGTAATACTTCAATCATAAAAAAAAGAAAACGTTTTAGGTGCTTTTTTTAATAAATAAAAACGTATCTGTTTATATTACCTAAGTAAAGTGAGTAACCAGTACACGCATCAGACAGACCGGTTTCTGACGGAAGAATTTACAAAACCATTAATGTTACGGCGACACAGTTTTGTTGACAAACCAGGATATCTCTTGGTAGCTCGTCTCAGAAGTAGTGAAATCGCGGATCGTGTGTGTGACATCAAATTTTCAAAGCAAACTATAATGGCATATAAACCTGTTTTCTCCGCTGTCAAAATACTGTATGAAGCACACTTCTTAAACAACAGCAAGTTACAGTCAATTGGAGAGTCTGGGCCAGCGAAGACGCGCTCCGCTGCACATTTCCTTGTTAAATTTAGCGCGCGATGATTTTCACTTTTCATTGTATATATTGTTTAGTTTAATTTGTTTCGTAATTGTGAACTGGATATTGAAGATCGCGTGAGCCGTAAGTATTATAAGCTCTTAATGTACTCGGATAGGCTTCTTATAAAACTAATACATATTGAGGTACATAGGATCTTTTTAAGGTTTAAGTTTTTTAGCCTTAGTCTTTTGAATATCATCAAAATGTTTTATATTGTAAAGAAGTTATTTTATTTTATGGTAATTTAAAAAAAATAAAAAGTACTTCACATTCTAAAGTGAGGAAAAATTATAATTTCCATTACGTTGATTTACAAAAAAAAAAAAATTGAATATATTTCTAGAATTTTTAAAAAGAAGAAATAACATAGTAATTATAATATAGAAATAAAATATAGTAAATGTAATAATTATTTATATTATTTTACTTAAATTATATTATCGTAGGCAGTGATCATACAAACTGTAAAGTATTCAAATCGTCAGAAATAATATAAACGTTCTAATAAGCAAATGTGAAGTCTTTTGAAACGATATATTATGAAACCAAGCCACTTGTTGATTCTTGATGCCTTATTGACATACTAAGATGTTCATTTTTTTATTTCAACAAACCAGAACTGTTATTTTTAATTTAATTTCTCAGTTTCATTAAAGTTAACTTGACTGGAATTTCGAACCAAATTCCGTGATTAAATGAAGAAACCCGAGTCACCTAATTTTAATTTCTAATGTTGTGTGCTCCCTCAAGCCGCCAGCGTCAAGAAAATTGCCCTAAAAACATAATTGTACCTAGAGCTGAAATTACGTAATCTACGTAAAAAATTACGTCATATAGTTTTAAATGATTTCTAATTCATATAATAATTACTTAATCTTTTAATACCGCTCATAGCGCCGGTGGAAATACATCAAAAAGCGTAAAGTATTACTGTGTCGTCTTTTATGGAATCACTGGAATATGATTGTGTGGATTAAATTCTGTTGCTTTAGAAACTCATTAGTTTCGCACGTACATAAAATATCCGCTAAGTATCTCATCTATACTAATATTATAAAGAGGAAAGATTTGTTTGTTTGTTTGTTTCGAATAGGCTCCGAAACTACTGGACCGATTTGAAAAATTATTTTTCCATTAGAAGCCGACATTGTCCCTGATGAACATAGGCTACTTTTTTTTATTTTTTTATTTTATTTTTTTGGTTTCATGTGTGTTTTAATGTCTCCGAAGCGAAGTGAGGGCGGGTCGCTAGTTAATTATATAGATGTTACACAATCATTTATTTTCCAATGCTAGGAAATCACAGGATTCGCTTTCTTCTTTTTTTTTTCTTTCTGGCTTTTGTTACTTAAATTTAAGTACAACTTTGCCAACGTCGGATAGTGGAGGTATCAACATAATTATGTTAAGACATTAACATTTACAGGCATGAATTGAAAATAGAGTATTTAGTTCACGCTTGGTCAAACCACATAATCGTGGTCTGCTTCGTCGAGGCCAATGTTGAAATTTCCACTGACCTGTATTATTTATGCAGCTTTTTCGTTCCAATGTATGATCTAGTCAATATATTTGTATAGACGGGTTAATTAGCTCACGGCATACATTGTAACAAGTGATTACCGGAGTTCATAATTATTTCAACGTCAATGCCACCGACCTTGAGACATGAGGTTTGAGTTTGTATTGTATGGTATGATGGCTGACCTACCCATCAAATCGAAACGCATTACTGCTTTTCGGTAGATATAACATGGTGGTTTCTATCCGTGCGGGCACATAAGACGTCCTAGCAATGGTAATTATGCAAATTTTTTTTTTTTTTTACGAAATTTGCTTTTTTTTATTAAACGATGTTAATCCTTCATTATGGAAGCTAATCGTGAGCATGTGTTAATTACGTATTTTACCAGAAATAGTGTTATTTGCTTGATGAATTTGAACACCGATATAACCGTGTTAGCTCGAGAAGTTATCCTTATCCTTTAGGCCACGATGACTTCAGAATATACATACTCATTACTTGCTATTGTATGTGACTATTAAAGCAGTATTTTTTTATGTCTAGCTTCACAACCAATCAATGTATAATTAAGTATTGGTCTATCAATCAATAGCGCCTAGCAACACCGATATTATTGGCATTGAATATAAACAACATAGAATATAAGTAGTTACATTAAAAATATAATCTATGAATGACGTTAACTATATGTGTAAAAAAGTTACTTTTTGCTCTAGTGGGCAGAAAAATGATCGGCCCACCTTTTCTTTTTTATTACTTAGATCTCACAGCTCACCTGATGTTAAGTGGTTAGTAGAGCCCATAGACATCTACAACGTAAATGCGCCATCCATCATGAGATATAAATTCTAAGGTCTCAGTATAGTTACAACGGTTGCCCCACCCTTCACGGCACACGGCTTACTGCCTCACGACAGAAATAGGAACGTCGGTGGTATCTACCCGTGCGGACTTACAAGAAGCCCTACCACCAGTATCATCGCTCATAGATATTAAGCGATAATAGGCGTATAGCCGAGCCTCTGTCTGCCACGTACATATAACAATATAGTTACATTTAAAGTAGGACATGCACTATCAAAAAAAGGATTCGTTTTATCCCATTATTGATTATCTGATATTAACAAAAAAATATTTCTTTCCAGATTGAGATAACAATGACGTCACAAATAAACGAATGGTATAAAGGCCGGAAAGTCCTTATCACCGGTTCCTCCGGGCTGATGGGCAAGGTCTTAATAGAGAAATTACTGTATAGCGTTCCGGATATAGGATGCGTGTACGCGCTGGTGCGGTCCAAGCGAGGAAAGAGCCCGGAATCACGCATCGAAGACATGTGGAAATTGCCTGTGAGATTCCGAAATAGCTCACTAATGAATAATTAATCCTTGTTCCACACGAACATAAAAAACCAATGCATTTTAATTACGCTAATATATAACATATTCATGGACACTTTTTTTTTAATTACATAATATAAGCCCGGTGATAATACCGTAAGGCAGTTTTTTTTTCTTGTTGCTCTGATAGCCTTTAGAGGCTATTTCAGCTTCACCCTAACATGTAGGTGAACTAAGGGGGCTCAAACCGGAACTTTTGCTAGCACTGGCCCTAGCAAGAGCAGTGTTCTCAGAATCTACCACCGGATCGGAACGCGACCCACTGAGAATATCCGGTGAGAAACTCAGTGGGCTGTGTCTATGGGTTAATTCGCTCGTCGCAAGCGACGGGTGCGACGGGTTCGACGAGGACGGTGACCGGTGCTTGTGGTACCTAAAAGCACCGTTAATGGATCGGGAGGATCCGTAATGACGTGTTTTGGGCGACGTCGACTGTTTACCTTTCGGTCTACAGGATCGGGTGTGATAAGGCAGTGCCGAGGTTGTTAATCTACCAATAACGCTAAGCAGCTATGTGTGCTATAAAAATGTAATAAACAAACATTACCCTCCTGAAATAATCCGGGCAAAATAAATCACTTCAATTCGCTCATGTTTCCAAATTAACGAATAATTTCAGGTTTTAAAAGTGTCATTTATTATCAATTGCAGCTTTTTACGAGAATAAGAGAAGAAAAGCCTCACGTGATGAAGAAACTTGTAGCAGTCCCTGGTGACATAATCTGCGACAAACTAGGCATCGAACAAACTAAGCTAGAACAAATTTATAATGAGGTAATAATGTAAACTTATTATTTTTATTTTTATTTTTTTATTGCTTACATGGGTAGACGATATCACAGCCCACCTGGTGTTAAGTGGTTACTGGAGCCCATAGACATCTACGACGTAAATGCGCCACCCACCTTGAGATATAAGTTCTAAGGTCTCAAGTATAGTTACAACGGCTGCCCTACCCTTCAAACCGAAACACAACTGCTTCACGGCAGAAATAGGCAGGGTGATGGTACCTACCCGCGCGGACTCACAAGAGATCCTACCACCAGTAAATTACGCAGGATTTAAATAAATTAGCGGGAGCTGGAGACTTAATTGTAAACACTCACAAAAATTATCAAAATCTGTTCGGAAGTCAGTGAAAAACATATGTACGTACAAAAGTATTACATGCTATTATTTAAAGATGAACAAATCATTTGAGACCTAATATTATGTTCGCAAAAATTCTTATTTACGAGTTTACGAATGTTTAGTTTTATAATTAACTAGCGACCCGCCCTCGCTTCGTATCGGGATCTGTAATTTATTATCGATTATTAAAATAAGATGGCAGATTTTTTCCTACTTACCTGACACTTATCGTTATATTTTGCGTAATTCACACTATTCTTTATAAATTATAGTTTATGTGTTATACTGATGTTTCAGCTATATTATTGTACAGTTTCATCAAAATCAATTCAGTAGTTTTTGCGTGAAAGTGTAACAAACATATGTCCATTACATTCTTACAAACTTTCGCGTTTTTATTATTAGTAGGACGACGTGAGACTACACGGGTAAGTACTACCTGCAATACCGTCTTTACCATAAGGGCACACGGGGCCCGTGCCCAGGGCCCCCAATCTCAGGGGCCCCCGAAAGACCGACAATTTCTCTCACACGTTTATTCTCAAAACATTTTTGTCGGGCACATTACACTTTTTTCACAAATCAGTAATCAGAAGGTATTTACAAGGCATATACTATGCCTATAATAGAAGATTTTGCTCAACAGAAATCCCGAAAGAAACCGTTATCGAAATTGTAACCAAAAAACCAGCAGCATTCTGATATCATTAATGACATATTACATCATACTGTATTTGATTACCTACAATAAATGGTCATACTCAGTAAAAAAATGTTATTATAATTCGCTTTTTTTACTTTCCAAAAGGGGCCTCAAATTCTTGTGTGCCCAAGGGCCCCATCCTAGTTTAAGACGTCCCTGACTACCTGTCTAGTTTTTTTTTATGTTTGAGAGATTACTGGTGGCCCGGAGGCCTTTCCAGTTTTACCGAGACAGATGGGCGAGCAAGGGCTCAGTTAGGAAGGTTGGGATTTGCTAACAGCTACCCGAGCGCCTCCAAAGGAGACCTAACAACTCAAGAGTAGCTGCTTCCCGAATGAATCTACTAACGGATCGGAATCGCGACCCGCTGAGAAGATCCGGCGAGAAACTCAGCGGGCTGATGTTTATGTTAGGTTACCTGTCTAGAGCCGAGCGAAACAGGCACGCGTTTAGGTTTACAGTCTTGGACAGGCAATGAAATTGAGTCTTCGGTCTCATATCTAAGAATCGTGGCGCCCATCAAGTCAACATCAGATGGGCTTTGAGTTCATTTATCTAGTGCGTTATGAAAAACAATTACTTTTAGACACTTACTGGGAGAGGTTATTGAATTATTCTTTTTATTCAATAAATTCACCGTATATCTCTGCGTCTCGTGATATGCTAAGGTAATAAGATATAATGTTGTCGCGCCCACATAATCATGCATCATTTCTTCATACGTTTTAAGTGAAAGTAGCTGGAAAGGCAATAAACGAGTTCCAACTGACATAACATTCGCATGTCTTTTTAAAATGCAACATTACTCGTGTTCACGATTGACTTCCACGGTGAAGGAATAACATCGTGTAATAAAAATCAAACCCACAAAATTATAATTTGCGTAATTACTGGTGGTAGGACCTCTTGTGAGTCCGCGCGGGTAGATACCACCGCCCTGCTTATTTCTGCCGTGAAGCAGGAATGCGTTTCGGTTTGAAGGGTGGGGCAGCCGTTGTAACTATACTTGAGACCTTAGAACTTATATCTCAAGGTGGGTGGCGCATTTACGTCGTAGATGTCGATGGGCTCCAGTAACCACTTAACACCAGGTGAGCTGTGAGCTCGTCCATCCACCCAAGCAATTAAAAAAAAAATTAATAAATGTATGTACTAGTTTAATGTGTAGACAGTCAGAAACTCGATCCGGTAACTCGCTACATTGAAATTTGAATTCAAATCAAAATATCGTTTTATTTTGTTTCTTATGTTACATAGCTCAAACTTTTTATATATAGTTTTATACAAGTAAAAAAAATAAGCTTGAGCTTTTAAGCTCAACGGTCTTAAGTTAGAATTTTCTCTTGTATTACCAATGGCCATTTTTTTTTTTTTTTTTTTTTTTTTTTTTTTTTTTTTTTTTTTTTTTTTTTNAATCTTGAACTGCCGACAACAATGACCTGTGTCTTCGACGGGTTCACCCTCAATCCATGCGAATTACTCCAACGGGATAATATTGATAAGTCATTATTCAGCGTCTTCATCGCGTTGGTCAGTTCTGACAAAGAAGTTTGTGTATAGATCTGTAGATCATCTGCATACAGGTGGTAGGAAGAAGTAAGTTGTATAGAAATAGAATTTATGACTTCAGAATATACATACTCATTACTTGCTATTGTATGTGACTATTAAAGCAGTATTTTTTTATGTCTAGCTTCACAACCAATCAATGTATAATTAAGCATTAGTCTATCAATCAATAGCGCCTAGTAACATCGATATTGGCATTGAATATAAACAACATAGAACATATGTACATAGTTACATTAAAAATATAATCTACGAATGACGTTGATTAGATGTGTAAGGAAGTTACACTTTGCTCTGGTGGGCAGAAAAACGATCAGCCAACCTGATGTTAAGTGATATTTTTTTATTGCTTAGGTGGGTGGACGAGCTCACATCCCACCTGATGTTAAGTGGTTAGTAGAGCCCATAGACATCTACAACGTAAATGCGCCATCCACCTTGAGATATGACTTCTAAGGTCTCAGTATAGTTACAACGGATGCCCCACCATTCAAACCAAAACGCACTACTGCTTCACGGTAGAAACAGGCAGGGTGGTGGCACCTACCCGTGCGGACTCACAAGAGGTCCTACCACCAGTAAAAATATATAGCGCTACATATGTAATCCACGTATAAGGTCTCAGTATAGTTACAACGGTTGCCCCACCCTTCACGGCACACGGCTTACAAGAAGCCCTACCAGCCTACCACCAGTATCGTCGCTCATGGATATTAAGCGATAATAGGCGTATAGCCGAGCCTCTGTCTGCCGCGTACATATAACAATATAATTACGTTTAAAGTAGGGCATGCACTATCAAAAAAAGTGGAGTCTTTTATCCCATTATTGATTATGTGATATTGACAAAAAAATCTTTCTTTCCAGACTGAGATAACGATGACGTCACAAATAAACGAATGGTATAAAGGCCGGAAAGTCCTTATCACCGGTTCCTCCGGGCTGATGGGCAAGGTCTTAATAGAGAAATTACTGTATAGCGTTCCGGATATAGGATGCGTGTACGCGCTGGTGCGGTCCAAGCGAGGAAAGAGCCCGGAATCACGCATCGAAGACATGTGGAAATTGCCTGTGAGATTCCGAAATAGCTCACTAATGAATAATTAATCCTTGTTACACACGAACATAAAAAAACCAATGCATTTCAATTACGCTAATATATAACATATTCATGGACTCTTTTTTTTTAAATTATATAGTATAAGCCCGGTAATAATACCGTAAGGCAGTTTTTTTTTCTACCTGTACTGATTGATAGCCTTTAGAGGCTATTTCAGCTTCACCCTAACATGTAGGTGAACTAAGGGGGCTCAAACCGGAACTTTTGCTAGCACTGGCCCTAGCAAGAGCAGTGTTCTCAGAATCTACCACCGGATCGGAACGCGACCCACTGAGAATATCCGGTGAGAAACTCAGTGGGCTGTGTCTATGGGTTAATTTGCTCGTCGAGCCCTTCGTCGCAAGCGACGGGTGCGACGGGTTCGACGAGGACGGTGACCGGTGCTTGTGGTACCTAAAAGCACCGTTAATGGATCGGGAGGATGCGAAATGGCGTGTTTTGGGCGACGTCGAATGTTTACCTTTCGGTCTACAGGATCGGGTGTGATAAGGCAGTGCCGAGGTTGTTAATCTACCAATAACGCTAAGCAGCTATGTGTGCTATAAAAATGTAATAAACAAACATTACCCTCCTGAAATAATCCGGGCAAAATAAATCACTTCAATTCGCTCATGTTTCCAAATAGACGAATAATTTCAGGTTTTAAAAGTGTCATTTATTATCAATTGCAGCTTTTTACGAGAATAAGAGAAGAAAAGCCTCACGTGATGAAGAAGCTTGTAGCCGTCCCTGGCGACATAATCTGCGACAAACTAGGCATCGAAAAAACTAAACTAGAACAAATTTATAATGAGGTAATAATGTAAACTTATTATTTTTATTTTTATTTTTTTATTGCTTACATGGGTAGACGATATCACAGCCCACCTGGTGTTAAGTGGTTACTGGAGCCCATAGACATCTACGACGTAAATGCGCCACCCACCTTGAGATATAAGTTCTAAGGTCTCAAGTATAGTTACAACGGCTGCCCTACCCTTCAAACCGAAACGCAGACGGCAAACCTTCACGGCAGAAATAGGCAGGGTGATGGTACCTACCCGCGCGGACTCACAAGAGGTCCTACCACCAGTAAATTACGCAGGATTTAAATACATTAGCGGGAGCTGGAGACCTAATTGTAAACACACATAAAAATTTTATAAAATCTGTTCGGAAGTTAGTGAAAAACATATGTACGTACAAAAGTATTACATGCTATTATGTAAAGATGAACAAATCATTTGAGACCTAATATTATGTTCGCAGAAATTCTTATTTACGAACGTTTTATGATTAACTAGCGACCCGCCCTCGCTTCGTATCGGGATCTGTAATTTATTATCGATTATTAAAATAAGATGGCAGATTTTTTCCTACTAACTTGACACTTATCGTTATATTTTGCATAATTCACACTATATCTTTATGAATTATAGTTTATGTGTTATACTGATGTTTCAGCTATATTATTGTACAGTTTCATAAAAATCCATCCAGTAGTTTTTGCGTTAAAGAGTAAGAAACATACATCCATTACATTCTTACAAACTTTCGCGTTTTTATTATTAGTAGGATGACATGAGACTACACGGGTAAGTACTACCTGTCTAGATTTAGGCCCGGAGGCCTTTCCAGCTTTACCAAGGCAGGTGTGGGCGAGCAAGGCCTCAGTTAGGAAGGTTGGAATTTGCTAACAGCTACCCGAGCACCTCCAAAGGAGACCTAACAACTCAAGAGCAGCTGCTTCGCGAATGAATCAACTACCGGATCGGAATCGCGACCCGCTGAGAAGATCCGGCGAGAAACTCAGCGGGCTGATGTTTATGTTAGGTTACCTGTCTAGTGCCGAGCGAAACAGGCACGCGTTTAGGTTTACAGTCTCGGACAGGCAATGGAATTGAGTCTTCGATCTCATGTCTAAGAATCGTGGCGCTCATCACGTCAACATCAGATGGGCTTTGAGTTCATTTATCTAGTGCATTATGAAAAACAATTACTTTTAGACACTTACTGGGAGAGGTTATTGAATTTTTCTTTTTATTCAATAAATTCACCATATATCTCTGCGTCTCGTGATACGCTAAGCTAATAAGATATAACTAGAGGTCCCGCAGTAGTCGAAATTCGACTATAATTAATTGGAATTGTAAGTTTGTGCACTATTATGATTGTATTTTATACTTCTATAATCACAAATTTCGCCAAGAATACACTATAAAAATTATTAACAAAGACAAACCATATTCTATTCTGAATTTGGCAACAGACGTCAAGAACAAAAGTTTGACAATAAATAGTATGCATGCGTGTGTGCGTCAAATACATGGTATGTAGTGTGTGTAATGTTTTCTTTATTGATTTAAAGTATCTTTTATGCTTTATTTTAAAAAATATTAGCATTGTGCACTTCTTCTCTATACTCTCTATAAGTGTGGAAAATTTCATACTCCTCCGTCCGCGCAATTTTCGTAAAAAGGGATACAAAGTTTTTGCTTCACGTATTAATATATAGATGTTGTCGCGCGCACATTATCATGCATCATTTCTTCATACGTTATAAGTGAAAGCAGTTTGAAACGCAATAAACGAGTTCCAACTGACATAACATTCGCATGTCTTTTTAAAATGCAACATTACTCGTACTTAATAAATGTACCTATGTAGGTACTAGTTAAATGAGTAGACAGTCAGAAACTCGATCCGGTAACTCGCTACATTGAAATTTGAATTCAAATCAAAATATCCTTTTATATTGTTTCTTATGTTACATAGCTCAAACTTTTTATTTATAGTTTTACACAAGTTAAAAAATCAGCTTGAACTTTTAAGCTCAACGGTCTTAGTTAGAATTTTCTCTTGTGTTACGAATGGTCACGGGAGACATAAGGGATATGAACACGTAAAGAACTACCGGTTGAGGGTACTTTAAACCTATACGGGTAGTACAACCCAGTCTATTTCTGCCGCGATGCTATCACGCGTTCTAATTTATCAATACATTTAAGACTTAGGTCTCATGTTCCAAGCTGAGTCTCGGCATTCACATTGTGACGTCAAAATTCAGACCCCGAATGCCAAATATTGTGATTAGGAATCGAAACCGGATCTCTAAGAACTAGGTTATTGTAATGATTGGCGTAGTAATCGTCTTAAGCGGTCGTCTCGTTGGAACTGATACCCGGTTGAAAGTTCTTTTCTTAGACATTTAGCATGAAATATCCGGAAATACACTCGTCTAGTCTCGTATTTCTTTTAGCCAAACATAATAACAATTGATAAAATCCCAGCGCTTTGTGTGGGAAAGATATTGTTATATGTGTAAAAAAAAAAAAAAGTATGTGTAAGAATAAAAAATAAAAAAAACAGTCTGGTTTTTGTCTCAGGTTTTTAAGTTGAGGTCGTGCGATTAATTAAAAAGACGTTTCGTTGAACCTCGTATTTAATTGAAATAATAAACTGCTTAATTCGTTTTGTAAAATAATGTTGTTGAAGTCCAGACTGTTCTCATTGTCAACTGTGACGTAGGTGAGAACGTGACGCTAAACGAGGAGTATTACTTATTTTCTTTAAGTATTTCTTTAGTTCTTTATCTTCAGAGTATTTGCTTATATGCTTTGCTTTAATATGCTTTAAATGTTTACTCGATTATACGTCATTTCGGATCCTCCCGATCCACTAACGGTGCTTTTAGGTACCGCAAGCACCGGTCATCGTTCTCGTCGAACCCGTCGCTTGCGACGGAGGGCTCGGCGAGTAAATTAAGACACAGACAGCCCACTGAGTTTCTTGGCGGATCTTCTTAGAGCGTCGCGTTTCCGAACCGGTGGTAGATTCTGCGAAGCACTGCTCTTGCTAGGGCTAGTGTTAGCAACGTCGTCAGGTTTGAGCCCCGTGAGCTCACTTACTCGTTCTGTAAATCTAGTATAACCACTCGGGGTTACTAGAGTAGATGCAAAAACAATAACTCGATTTTACGTTATACCTAGTGTAAAACATCAAGATAATCATGAACGTTATTGCCGCCGCCCAGCTTTAGACATAAGGTGGAAATATCAATGATACACTATCTAATAGGGCTATATAATAGGGCTTTCCTCTATTATCATCGAAATGTTCGATATTTCACTAGGCTGCTCATCCGAACAAGTCCCAAATGTCATCAGTAAAAGTAGACGGGGGCCTAGGGTAAAATAATCCGGGAGGGAGAAAGTAACGGACGAGAGAATCATTGTCACTATGGATGTTGTTGACATTTAAAAAAAATACTAGTTATATTTAATAACAAATAATCCCAGTATACGAGAATTATAATGACCTGAAGATTTTCATTCATTTTGTGTGTTCATTCTCTCATTTGTGTCGCCATTGACATATTCCTAAATGTGTGTATGACAACGCTACAAAACAAAAATAATTAAAGTTGGTGGACAGACAAATTAGAAACATCTATTGAATGGCATTCGATCAATTATTATTATTATTACTATCATTAGTCGAAGCTCATAATACTGCATCGTAAAAAAATTACTATAGTTAATTCAATTATTATTGTTAATGACCAGCGATTTTATTGCAGAATGTGTTTGTGCAAACATTTTTATTCATGAATAAATCTCAGTTTTTACCCACCAGTACAAAGATCATCTTGTGTTTTGTTCAATACAAATATCTCTATATTTCGGTTATAAGCAAAAAAGCCCAATTCAGAGACTTTGCTGCTTGCGGAGTTTGGCATTATCAACAGAATGGTTTTAGTTAGCTCCCCCCGATAAGTCTAAAAAGGCCTAATTAATGACAATTTCCTCAAAACACATAATTGAAACCTGAGATGAAATGAAACTTTTTTTTATGGCTTAGATGGGTGGACGAGCTCACAGCCCACCTGGTGTTAAGTGGTTACTGGGCCCATAGACATCTACGACATTGGCGAAATAGGCAAGGTGGTGGTACTTACCCGCGCGGACTCACGAGAGGTCCTACCACCAGTAATTACGCGAATTATAATTTTGCGTTTTATTTGGTTTGTGTTATACCTATATAGTTGTGGGACCATCTTTTAAAACAATTTAGGAAACATTGCTCCTATATTCTTATTTTTCAACAGGTTTCGGTAGTTTTCCATTTCGCTGCAAGCTTACGTTTAGAAGCGCCATTGAAGGAAGGCTTGGAAATGAACACAAAAGGCACGATGCGTGTTTTGGAATTATCCAAGAACATAAAAAATTTGGTCGCTTTTGTACATCTGTCGACGGCTTTCTGTTATCCAGATTATGAGCGATTGGCCGAAAAGGTGAGAAATTTTAGCGTCTTTTAATTTTTGTAGATAAAACGATGAAAAACTGGTACTAGACGCCCTATCATCTTTTGACTCCAAACCAGGGGCTCCCAAACTTATTTTGTCTACTGCACACTTTTTTCACCTACTTAAAAACCACTATAGAAGTTACAAATTGCCTCCCAAGCCTTTACACAACGCCCCTATTTTATTTCTGGGTCTCTTACCACCCCCTTAAGGCCTGCAACGCCCACAAGGGGGCGTTATCGCCCACTTTGGGAAAGGCTGGTCTAGACGTACATGCTCACGGCCCAGGGTTAATCATAGACGTGAAAGCCACCAGGCCCTTTAAGAAATAAAATCTAAGGTATAATTGTAAGTATAAGTGGTAATCTTATTTGTAAATTGTAACAGCTGTCCCAAAGTATAAAAGAAATGTAAATTGTTGAATTTTTATTTTCAAGGTCCACGATCCCCCTACTGATCCCGAAAACGTACTTCAAGCGGCGAGTTGGCTCACCGAACAGCAGTTAAACATTCTCGCTCCTTCAATATACAAGAAGCACCCCAACTCTTACACGTATTCCAAAAGGCTGGCTGAAGCTCTTGTGAAAGAGAGCTACCCTCAACTACCGGCAGTTGTAGTTAGACCTAGTATAGGTATGATGTGGTAAACAATGATTTGTAATTTCCAATAAAAAAATTTTGATCATTATATAAACGGTAAGCAATGGCTTGGTTCTGCCCCTGACTTTGCTGATGTCCACGAGTGACGGTAACCTCTCACCATCAAGGGGACCGTATGGTCGTCTGCTTGCATGAGCAATAATCAATGTGACTAGGCTTACTGGTGGTAGGACCTCTTGTGAGTCCGCACGGGTAGGTACCACCACCCCGTCTGTTTCTGCCGTGAAGCAGTAATGCGCTTCGGTTTGAAGGGTGGGGTAACCGTTGTAACTATGCGTATGCGGTATGCATGACGCATTTACGTTGTAGATGTCCATGGGCTCCAGTAACCACTTATCAATAAAAAATCAACCTCAGTATAGACTATTAACCTTGAAAATCTCACATCTTAGTTTTTTTTTTTATGGCTTATATGGGTGGACGATCTCACAGCCCACCTGGTGTTAAGGGGTTGCTGGAGCCCATAGACATCTACAGCGTAAATGCGCCACCCACCTTGAGACATAAGTTCTAAGGTCTCAGGTATAGTTACAACGGCTGCCCTACCCTTCAAACCGAAACGCATTACTGCTTCACGGCAGAAATAAGCAGGGTGGTGGTACCTACCCGCGCGGACTTTCAAGAAGTCCTACCACCTGCCTTTGAGGTGTTTTTTTTTTTAATTCTATGTTTTTAATAACTAAAGTACGAAAAAATATTCGCCAACTGAAAGTACTTACTACATACCACCACAACACAGTCGCAACCGATTTACTTAAATCACTTCTGTTTAATTCCAGTGACACCCGCATACAAAGAGCCCATAGCAGGTTGGGTTGATAATCTAAACGGCCCCATTGGTTTGATGGTAGGCGCCGGGAAGGGCGTCATCCGCTCCATGCACTGCTACGGTCATTACCACGCCGAGGTCATACCGATAGACATCGCTATTAACGCCATTATAGTTATAAGCTACAAGATTGGAAATCAGTCTGAAAGGTACTTTTGACGTAGTGTATGGGAAGTCGAGGAAGAAGATTTCCGACCAGAAACTCCAACAAAAAAATAGAAAATAAATTTTAATAAATTTGAATTCAAAATAGTGTAAAAAAAATGATTTTATTGTAAAAAAAGCGTGGGGTGCTTTTCAGGATATTATCAAAATAACCCGTCTACTCATATCTGTTCATAAAATATTTATAACTACTTATACCATGCACCCCACGCTTTTCTACAATACAATCATTTTTCCTTACACTATTTTTAATTCAAATTTATTAAAATTTATTTTCTATTTTTTAGTTGGATATTTTATAAAAGCGTATTTTGTTAGTTTTTTTAAACTATTATTTATTATATAATTTGCTGTGCACGCAATGTATTACGCAAGAGACGATGACCTCGTGAGTCGTGCGTACGAGCTACCTTCACTTTAACATAACGCGATCATCATTAATAGCACGTGTTATTAATGATGATCGCGTGTGATCGTGTTTAGTGGTCATTAAGACATGAATATTATTTATGTGTATAGGTACCGTGTTACTATTATTATTAGGGTTTCGGGAGTAGTTTCTTGATACTTTACGTCAAATTCTGATTTTTGCCAAATAAACTAAATACCTACACACATTTGCTGAATTTACTCAATGCCGAATATTGTTAATGTTGATACCGTAACAGATATACGAACGGCACATAGGTGTTATGTTATAAAGCCTGAATTTGTTTGATAAATATAGAAACATAAAGATGACAGATATTTAAAGTCTTCTAATGAAGGAGCCACAACGATGAAAATCAAAACAATAAATAGAATACTTAGAGCATGATGTCAGAGATGCGTTGGGTGCGGCTTGACCCCTGTGTGTCTCATTTGAGCGCCGTTTTACCCAAGGCTCGGACGTATTGAGTGACATACCCCACCTAGCGTTCCGAACGCTTTTGCGGAACTCAGCTGATTGCATCCACCCTTACTGTTTCTGCATTATACGAATAAAAATACATTTCAAACATTTTGAATAGGAAAAATTCTATTAGTTAGTTAGTCAATAAATTGGTTGGTAGTTCTAATGACGATATTTATTTCAGACCTCCAGAAATACCGACATTCAACCTCACTACAGGAGACGACAGGAACACAACATGGAAGGAAGTTCTGGATATCGGTAAAGCGACCGTTCGAAAGTATCCCTTCGAAGGTCCCCTCTGGTATCCGAACGGCAACATCAGACATAATAAGTTCATACATGACTTGTGTGTGTTCTTCTACCATCTAGTTCCGGCGTATTTTATTGATTTTCTGATGTTTTTGTTCATGCAGAAACGATTGTGAGTTTTTTTTCTATCTATTCTAGTAACCTCGATACTAGATTCACAGAAAGAGTAGGTGAGCTCACAGGGCGTTAAGCTGACGACATTGCTAACACTAGCCCTAGCAAGAGCAGTGCTTCACAGAATCTACCAGCGGATCGGAAACGTGACCCACTGAGAAGATCCGGCGAGAAACTCAGTGGCCTGTGTCTGTGGGTTAATTTACTTGCCGAGCCCTTCGTCGCAAGCGGCGGGTTCGACATGAACGATGACCGGTGCTTGTGGTACCTAAAAGCACCGTTAGTAAATCGGGAGGATCCGAAATGACGTGCTTAGGGCGACGTCGACTGTTTACCATTCGGTCCACAGGATCGGGTATGTAGTTACCGGCGACCACGACGAGAGGGTTTTCGCGTCGTGCCGCTTTCTCGAAATGGCGCACTGATGCCGACTGTAAATACTTACTTAACATCGTGGAGATCCACGTTTCTCACGAACCACGGTACTCCGACGGCTATCCTGTAAAATCGGGATTAATGTTATCGCGATAAGAATCTTCCCTTAATTATAACTAGCTTTTAAAATAACGTAAATTCCATACAGATTAAGATCCCCTATTTCAACCCCTGCAACCCTTTTTTCGCATTAAAAATTAGTCTTTGTCCTTTCTTAGGCTCTCTACCAAGTTTCATTTAAATCGGTTCAGTAGCTTAGTCGTGATTGCGTAACGCACAGACAGACAGACTTACTTTCGCATTTATAATATTAGTAAGGATATATGTATGATGATCATTATTTTAATTTCAGTATGGTTCGGATTCAAAATAGGATTTCAGTAGGTCTAGAGGTGCTACAATATTTCACGACGCGTGAATGGTGGTTCGATACAGATAATTTCAAAGCTTTAGCTACAATGTTGAATCCTGTTGATAAGGAAGTTTTTCCTATGGACCTAAGCGTCATTGAAGACGAGCCTTACATAGAGAGCTGTATGATCGGGGGCAAGCTGTATTGCATGAAAGAGAAGCTTGAGAATTTGCCTAAAGCAAGACTCCAGAATAATATGTAAGTAATCATAATTACCTGCTGCTTACTACTATGCCAACATATTAACACATTAATTATCGTCCCGTAATTTTAAATGGCATCTACTTACCCTACTAATCATAATCTTCTTTAATCAAATAAATGCCTTACATAAATTAAAGAAATTTATCTATCATGTACACGTTTTTCTTCATAATTGTAAGTTTAAATCACCTATTTATTTGTCTTCTATCAGGAACAGGTTTGCAATGCTGACCGCTTCGAACTGTGTTATTATTTTTTGATAGTAAGAGGTCATTCTGTTCATGCCCCGCTTTTGGTCGTGTCAGTTTTGCCATCTAGCGCGTTGACACGTTTGTTGAAGTTGATCAAGTGATCGTTGAACCGTAACTCAAGGAAAGGCCTTCATTTTCCCCGAGACATTATCCAAATATCTTTAGCTATTAGTCCGAAGCATGCAAGAATTTACAAACAAAAATACTAGCAGTCTTGATCTCACTAATCCAAATTGTAATTTGTCAATACATTGATTACAAGCTGTTGACATCAAATATGGCGGTCGGGAATTTTTCAAACAAATCAAACGATCAATCGAAAACATGGTCGCTTATTTTGGCGACTTTACCTTATGAAAAACAATGCAAGAATTATGTAGATTTTCTTACGTAATTCATGATTCATTGTATAATATAACGCATATGAGTGGAACATATTCGTATTCAATTTATTTATATAATGTGTATTCCTTTTTCAGTCTCTACGTCTTGGATAAAATAACAACAGTCTTTTTCTACTTGATCCTGCTGTACTGGGTAGTACTGTATTGCGCACCAGTCCGCGAAGTATTATCTTATGGCGGTCCATTTGTTCGATACCTACCTTTGGTGGGTAAAGCGGTTTTTAAAAATGATCTTTAATTAAATTTAACATTAAATTTAATTACATTAAACATTAATTAAATTTAAATTTAAAATTTAATAACTACTATATTTGGGGACTAAAATTCACTTGAAATCGTGAAATTTATTTTTCTGCTATATTGAATTGGTGTGTTGATTGTCCTTGTATTAAATTTACTCTTTACTTTTAATAGAGAAAACTTGTAAACAATAAAATAAACTTTTTTCTATAAAATATTGTTTTTTATTTCAATTATATCTTAGATTTCAGTGCGAAATAAGTAAATATACATTATAAATATTTTTTTAGTAATACTTAAATGTAACTGTAACAAATGCAACTGCAAAAAGAGGCATGCTGAGTCTGAGCCGAAAATTGAGGCTGCACACTTCGGCACAATCATTTGGTCATTAGCCATGATTAAGATCAAGTGTCTCATACTTTAATGGTGGTAGGACCTCTTGTGAGTCCGCACGGGTAGGTACCACCGCCTTACCTATTTTTGCCGTGAAGCAGTAATGCGTTTCGGTTTGAAGGGTGGAGCAGCCGTTGTAACTATACCTTAAAACTTATATCTCAAGGTGGGTGGCGCATTTACGTTGTAGTTGCCTATGGGCACCAGTAACCACTTAACATCAGGTGGGCTGTGTGTTCCTCCACCCATATAGCAATAAAAAAAACATAAAAAGTTTGGTAAACGATTTATTATTATTTTTCTTAGCACCAAAGCCCGGTCCTTATAATTTATCCTTATAATTCGGCTATTCGGCGATAGATGGCGTTACTCTTAACGGCGTAACAATACGTACATATTATGTGGTGCAGCGGAAATTTGGAAAAATCAGAGTTACTAGAATTTTAAGGAAACTATATGAACAAGTTTTATTTTGAACATTTTCAGTATACCTTATGCTTCGCCGTGTGCAATCCTATACACGTACTTATTAAGTTTTTATTTTTATGTGAGTGATTTCATTTAGGCAATTACTACATTTAAAGTCAGAGCGGATTATTATGATGGAGCATCAAATTAACTATTTAATCCAAGGTTCTGGTCACTAGTAAGCTGTTATCTTGTTACGGTTGGCAAAAGGATGAATAAATCAAATTTAATGAGAGTATTTAATCATTTATTATTTATAATTTTCCTTAATAAGAACAATTTCTAATCAAGATGCACTGGTTGCCGCTTCCGAAAACGAAGACAGGTGCGAATGTTTTCAGGTAATATATTACAGAGAAATATTAATTTCCCTTTTTTTTGTCATAATGTACAAAATTTTAAAATCGAGAACGATGTCCTCCTTTGACGTCGAATGAGTGAGGCCGTTAAACTTCGAGTTTTATACATATGACTAAGCAGAGAGAAAATGTATTTTTCGATTTTGTTCGGATATTTTTAAAGCGGCCCCCCTGCAATTTTATTAACTTAAAACTCTAAACTATAAGTATTCCTATTTAATAAATAAAATTAAATTACAAATTCATTTTTATAAATTGCGATATACATAATTTTATCTCGAATTTTTATTTTTTGACAATTGTTATTTTTGGTGGTTTCTGTGAGAATTGAAGAAACAAGTTTTTAAACAAAACAGCTTAAGCCCGTTTCTTGAATTTAAAATAACCATCTTTCGTCTAATATTACAAAAAGTGGCAACTGTAGCGAAACATTGAAATCGCTTCTAATAGTGAAAATATAATTGGTTTTCTTCAATCGATTATTCTTGTTCTAAATCAGCGAAGCGTTCATCGAAAGTGGAGGAAACGTCGTGCTCACAAATGAACAAGCATGTTTGTGTGCAACTTATATCGTTTAACTGTCCATTGTAGAACATTGAGCCGCAAAGTTCCTTGTCTCCACCGTCTGGTTGTCCGTTTCCCCATTGTGTATAGCCACTATTGTCGAGGGCACCGCCTAAAACAAAACTGCGATTAAGGAAAAAGCTACAATATTAAACTAGTAACGTCTACGTTTGCTCGTAGCTCGTAAATACAATAATTCTTACGTTACGGACGTTTTTTCCCGGTTAGGGTACCCCTCCGTATCGTCCCATAAGGAACTTCGTTCCAAAATTGATGTCTATTTGCAACAAAGAATTTGTTTTTTTTTAGCACCGAGTAATGGAAGTTTAACAGAAACTTCTTTCCCTGAAGTACCTACATATAATGGTTTTGAAAAATATCAACTAAGTCGTATGTGTGTTTAAACGACACGCGAACGTAGGTTGGAGTCGTCGTGGCCTAAATGACGAGACACTCGGTGCATTCGTATCGGGCAATGGGACTGTACCGTTGTCTAAACCCCGCAGGCACGTATCAATTTCTTGTAATGAAATACGTACGTACTTAACAAATGCTGACGAATGACTTCCATGGTGAAGGAATAACATATCGTGTAATCAAACCCGCAAAAATTATAATTAACGTAATTACTAGGTAGGCACTACCATCATGCCTATTTCTGCGGTGAAGCAGACATTGTGTGGTGAAGTGGCGGCATCAACGTTGTTGATGTCTATGGGCTCTGGTAACCTTGTAACACCGGGTGGGTAGTGTGTTCGTCGAAACATCTAAGCACAAAAACGCAAACGAACTGACAGATAGATAGATATATGCGTAAAATATTTTTTAATTCCCTAGTAGACAACCCTAACACTAGATCAACATAAAATATTAAATATTATCGAAATAATTCTGATGCGTCAGATACTACTACAGAAAAAAATTGATTGCATCATCGATTACACTTTTATTACCACTTAAAAAAAGATATAATAACCTTACATTCATAATAACCTTTACTGAGAGGATTAATTAATTTTGTGCCTGTCGAAAAGAGGAAGCAGCAGTAATATTGTCTTCAAGGTACATTGTACTGAGCACGTGTAATGCTGCTAAATATACGTGCAAAGTCAATCATTAAATAGTTCCTGTGATCTATGCAATGGTATTATTATGTTTATAAAATTTGTAATATGTATTAATTTTCCTGTTTTGAACTCTATGTGTATAGTTGGTATTGTTTTGTGTAACAGCACAGGAATCTAAATGATAATTATTCAGATTTCTGTGTAACTATTACTGCATTGTATCTACTGTTTATGCTGGTAGGTATTCGCTTTTTACAGATAAACCGCTTTGTTTTTTCATAAAAAAATAAAGTACTGTTTTTTTAAACACAATACGATTAGACAAAGCAAATACAATTAAGTAAATCGCTTTAATAAAATTATATGTATTACGTTAGTCAGTAATAAGTAAAACAGATTTCGAATAATTTAGCTAATCATAATTCTACCTTATCAATTTTAAAGTAATAGAGATAGACGGCTTATACGTTGCTTCTTAAGTTTCGCGTGAATTTTTCCTTAAGACATACAATACAAAATTGTTACGTATTATTTATTAATTATCCTCTTGTTCATTCCTTGACTAAAGCAAGATTAAAATTTGAAATATCCGTGCTTGGAAAACGTGTTCCGATCACGATTTTTTGGTCGAATATAATTTAATTTTTTGATTTCGGTATTTGATTGAAGACAATAAAAAAAAAACAAGATTTAAACGATGAATTTACCAAATAATATCAATGTTATAACATATAGCTATATATTTATAAAAAATATATTTATATAAATATTTATAAAAAAAAAGATGCGGTAATTGATGATATCACAGTAATACGCAGCTTTTAGTCTGAATGTTTGTTTGTTCAAGAACTTCACCAAATCTATTAGGTAATTTTTATTGAAACTTTGTATTTAAAATAATGTAGATAGTTTTAAAACAATTTTATTATGCTTTTTTTAAAACAAATTTATTTAATATTTTTGTTTGTCTTGTTGATATCGGTCAGGACACTAGAGAGACGTTTTAAAATTATTGAATTATTGTGTTTTCTCATGTTTTAATGTCAGTGAAAATTACGTTCAAACATTCCCTTACGGACATACATACATACATACATAACATATATCATCAAGATTCATTAAACAATTCCACATTCAACTAAAATCAAGTAAGATGGGCCATAACGAGCATGTCTGAAAAAATATTAATGTCCGAAATAATTTCCGATTTTGTGGTTATTTTGGACGGTCTCGCTATTCAAGGAAAATTGTTAAATCAATGAAATACCCAAATTGTTTTTAAATGGACCAAAGTATATACAACAATCTTAGTCTTAGATTTAGTGTCAAGTCTCTGTTCATTATTTGATGAAATACATGAAGACAATTTCAAGACAATTTCACTTAATGCCGGCAGCCGCTCTGGACAATTCCGGACTTACTTAGCATTAATATTTAATTTGGTAATTAAATTTTATTTGGTATTATTTATTAGTCAAACGCAAAAAGAAACTCTCACCTTTAATCGTAGTCCATCCATCTTTGTTCTTATTATGGAAGCCAAGGAACACAGCGCCTGCCAAATATTTCCCTCTCACTTTGTCTTTTGGAGCTAATCTCGTCATGTTCACTAAGTGGTCAGCCTCTTCCTTGGTATTTATGATCGCTAAGTACGATTGATCAGCACTGCACACCCTGTATGCTTCGGACCAGGTCATAGGGGTCAAATACATCTTGTAGCATCGGCCAAGTACATCGCTGTATGCGTAGTCTAGAAAAAAATTATGACGTAACTACCTACTTATTATTGGTTAAGATAGGCAAATGAGTGCGCGGTTTAGTTATGCCGCTTCTTCATGGCAAAATTAACAAATATAGAATTTTATTTCAAAGGTCTAAGTGACGTAAATACATAAATAAGTGCAAAAATACTGTTAGTAGATGTAAGAGAGCAAAGTAACAAAACGAGTTTACTGTTTTGAAGAGTTTTGTGTTCGCTATGTATAGTCAAAAATACCGCTACATTGGAATAAAATATTATTTTGGATTTTTTTATGTTTGTTAAATTTTTATAAAGGTTTATTTATTTATTTTCAGCATAGACCTTCAAAATTAATGTCACTTCAAAGCTTCATTGAAATGTACATAGGCGATATGATAAGTGTTTTTTTTAAATTGAACTAGGATGGATGGGTGAATGAGTTAACAGTCCGCTTGGGGTATAGTAGTTACCGGAGTCCGTACACAACACAGCGTCCATAATCTAAGTTTCAATTGTATAGTGTAACGGGTGCTCTATCATTATAAATGAGGGTTGCATGGTACAGATGAGACTAATTAATCCAGATTTGTAATTAAAGGCTTTGAAAAACGCATTTTAGCTATAGAGATCCCTAATGACTCCGATGTACGCAACTCCCTTGAAACATGTATGTAATATAAAGCTTTATTTGTCCAGAATTCTTGTTGGGTTTCAAACTTTGGTGGATATTAATGAAAAATGAACTCGGAAATAATTGGTATAAAAAGTAATTTAAAGTACTCGTGGAATTGTACATAAATTTATAATTTTTTTTTTTCTTGTGAGTCCACACGGGTTCGCACCACCAACCTGCCTCTTTCTGCCGTAAAACAGTAATGCGTTTCGGTTTGAATGCTGGGGCAACCGTTGTAACTATACTTGAGACCTTAGAACTTATATCTCAAGGTGGGTGGCGCATTTATGTTGTAGATATCTATGGGCTCCAGTAACCACTTAACACCAGGTGGGCTGTGAGCTCGTCCACCCATATAAACAAAAAAAAAAAGATACAACAAAGATATTAATAGCTGTGATGTTGTTTGTATAGTCGCCCCGATAACATTACACGAGGGTCAACGGGACTAAACCCCTTATCTATCGAAAGTTCATTTTGCCATAAACGTACACAATAATTATTATTCATAAATTTGCATTTTCCTTGTATTTTCATTTAAGATTCATGTGAAAAAAGGATCTTTAGAATTTGGATACAGCATGCATGCCGCGGTAGGTACCGCGAAATTGTAATAAAATTGATTACCGGTGTTAGGAATGTCACAATTCACATTCCACTCGAGTGAAGCCAGTGTTTTCTTGCATATAAATGGGAAAGATTTCGCACAGTCATCATCGTTCATAAGTCCGTCATTTCTATGGATGACGACGCAATCTTCGTTGTTATGAGAGTCGTTGGGCTCGCCCGGCTTCCATTTGTTATACACGTCCATTATGGAGACACCTGAAATTTTGAAAGACCGTCTTTGGTATGTGTTCTCAATCGTTTTATGTAAAGATATTTTGTATATAGTCTCCATTAGATAAAAAGAGTAGGGGAGGGTTTTAAGCTATTGTATAGCGGCGGCGGGCATTGAGCGTGGCGACCGAATCAAGAAATTCCGTAACTAAAATAAAACCTTACACTCCCCGGGCCACTCCGCCTACCATGTAGCTCGCTTTCAATACAGTCACACGTTGCGCTTGTGTAGTGTTTGTGAATAAGCGCGCGGCGTGACGTCGCACTGCATGCGCATCATGAAAGTCTGCCCATCTCCCTCTCACGCGGTTTAGCTTATGAGTGTAAAGGGGACAGTTAGTGTTTTGCTGGTGTTAATGTTTATAAATATAGCGTGGTCTTATTTTATTATTGTTTTAATATTAAATTATTATTGTCTAATATTATAATTGCATAAGTTCATAAAAAATGCTATGCAATAGCTTTACCGCGGCAGTTTCCGAGTGCAAAACGTGTTTTTTTTAAAGTAAAAAAAATTGTAACAATTATCGCAGGTGAGTTTAAAATTTTATGTTGTGGATGCTATTACATTATTTAAACATATATTAATAAGTGTAGTAAGAGAATATAGGGAAGGAGTGCAGAATACTATTTTTATTTTAATTATGCGCAAAAAATACATTAAATCCATAAAAAAAACATTACACACAATACCATGTATTTGATACCCACACGCTTTTTTTTCCTACCTAAGCTGGTAGCCTAGAGAGGCTATTCCAGCGGAATTGCTCACGGGGCTCAAACCTGACGACGATGCTAACACGAACCCTAGCAAGAGTCGTGCTTCGCAGAATCTACCACCGGATCGGAAACCCGACCCACTGATAAGATCCGGCGAGAAACTCAGTGGGCTGTGTCTGAAAGTTAATTTACTCGTCGAGCCCTTCGTCGCAAGCGACGGGTTCGACGAGAACGATGACCGGCATAGACAGCCGCAACCCGCCTTGACACGTGAAGTCTATGCTGCAACTTTTCGGGTTTGATTTTTGTTACACAAAGCTATTTTTTCACCGGGGAAGTCATTCGTGAATATAAGTTAAGTGCGTAGGTATAATGTAATGTTTCGGTAGAAGAATCGGTGCCTACTGAATTTGAACTCTGACACAGTTGCATCGCTCGAGACGAGTACATAAAGAGTTTTAGTCTTTAGCCCACAAGGATACCTCTGTGCTTAGTGCGAGTCTTAGAACAGCCCTCTAGCGGCAAACGTAAGCAAACGATCCCATTCCATACAAATATAAGCTAACTTTTACGCTATCGAGAACGTTAAAAAACTCATACTAAGCACATTTGTGACAAAAAAGAGTCGGGCTTCGCAACCCTATGATCAGTACTCTAGATAAGAATCGGGACGGAGTAGATAGTCTTAGTGATGTTACGAAGGACGGATTATGGGGAAATAAGCACTAGATATGTCTATAGAGCAGTCTAAGGAATAAGCACTAGGGATACCTACCTATATCTCGTGATATATATCAATCACTATATATGTTTAATGATTATGTACTACGGCACTTACAAAACTCATTCATTTTCCATTAAAATCCTAATTTTTGTTTGTTTGTTAAATAATAATAATTAACTATCAAGTCAATTAATAAATTTAAATCAAATGAACATAATATTAATTTGATAATATAATTTATTGATTCATTCATAAATTTATGTCGTTATCATAAAACCCTGTTTATCTTAGCCGGTTTATGCTACAGAAAATTAAAAAACAATAAATGAGCTTATATTTTCTTCATATTGAATGAAAATTAAAAACGAAATTAGGTAGGTTATCCTCATTATTATATAATACCTATTTTAAAGTCTTGGATCAGTGTTCGATGGAAGTGGACAAAAAGGAATTAATCAATTTAAGCAAGAGTTTTAGACTTTACTGTTACTCAAGACGCGCGACTGCTTTCATGCTGTCTTATATTTAGATACGATGCTTGTATTAAAAAAAAACTACCATACAGCATAACGATAATGTAGAAAAACTCATTGTGATGACGAGAAAAAATCGCGCGGCCTTGGAGAGGTTTGATGGAAGAACTTATTAAGGAAGATGGAAGAATGAGGTTATCAGGTACCATCAGACTGCTAACGTATAATCAAAAAGTTCTTGCGAGACTATTTTATTTTAATAACGAACTTTGATGTTCTGTCTGACAATTAAACAAGAGTTCAGTTAAGGAAGAGAATGTAAAAGGACAAGTCTGTAGATTTGAATTTACCGGTTCCCATCAGGGCTATGAATGAGATTGGTAGCAGTACTAGGAGATTATTTCATCTTTCGATCTATGTGCTTAGTGCGAGTTTTTTAACGTTCTCGTTCGCGTAAAAGTTAATTCAAATTTGTATGGAGTTGGAACGTTTGAAGAACGAAGGTTGCTGACATAGCCCGTAGAATTAGTGAACTGAAGTGGCAATGGGCCGGTCACATAGCACGAAGAGAGGACGGTCGATGGGGCAGAAAGATCCTGGAGTGGCGACTACGTACTGGCAAGCGCAGTGTAGGACGGCCACCTACTAGATGGACCGACGACCTAGTAAAAAGCGCTGGGTCTCGTTGGATGCAGGTGGCAATGGACCGGTCGCACTGGAAATCTATTGGAGAGGCCTATGTTCAGCAGTGGACGGCGATAGGCTGAAATGATGATGATGATGATGATGGAACGTTTGCCGCTATGGACGCCGTTTCAAATACATACAAATTTGAGTTAACTTTTACGCTATCGAGAACGTTAAAATACTCGCACTAAGCACACTGTACGTAAATGACTTTCCAAATGAAGTTTCGGTAAAGCAATCATACGGATTTCGATATCAGCGCGCCCGGGGTCACAGGTCTCACATTTGTCGCGAACTTTGCATAATAATAATTAAACTGGCAAATGATATACACACAACGAGTTCAACATTTTCCTTATATTGTTATATCATAACAAACTACTGTTTGTTTCTGTACTGTTAAAGAAATTAAAGATTAGGATGTGCAAAAAAAAATACAAAACTCAAAATTATATTATAAATTAATAAATACATATTAATATTATTTCTCTTGGAAAATTAATCAAAAACTCTTTTACTTAAACTATGTAAAATGAAAATTCTACAGGAGTTTATTGTGTTCCATTACGGCTTTAATAAATTTATTATTTAATTTTATTTATAATAATAATAATAATTTTTTATTTTTTTATTTATAAAATTCTAATTTTAATCGGTGAGTAATTTTTTTCTCTCACTTTTATGAAATGTCAAAGTCTCATAGTAACTGCTTATGTCAAAATAATGTCAAGGATCCACGAATACATTTTAAAAAATCAATCAATTAATGTTTTTTTCGTTTTGTGCAAAATAACAATTAAATTAAATATTTGGACGAGAATTTGAAACGGTTATTTACACGGTTATTTAAACTAAAACAAAATGAGAATTGTAAAGTAGACAAAATAATTAAATTTTTTGAAGTGAAAACTTCTTTAGAATCGTTGTGATTTCAAACCGGATGCAACGGAAAAAACGACAGGTAAGAGACACAAATACAAAAATGTGTAGGATGAAGCCAGCAAAGAATGAGACAGAAATATACATACTATTTAATACAGCGCCATCTGTGAGATTTTTTAATACTAACGTGTGTATGAAAGCTCTTGTAGTGAATTTTAATTGAGGATTATACGTGAAATTAAAATATCAATTCACAGAGGGCGCTACCTTACAATTATTTACTAATGACAAAATTTTACATATACTTAAGACGTTTAGGATAATTGTATTTTAATTTTGGAAGGTTTCACTTCTACCACACGTGTGAATTGCACACATGTATTTTTTTTTTTTTAACATTTTTTTTCCCAAACCTAAGTCGTTCGATTTGAATCAGATTTGAATCAAATGATTTTTTTCCTCTTAAATATTCAAAAGAGCATCAAATCAAGGGCATCAAAATTAAAAATGATAAATGAATTAAAATTATACTAAACGTGACCGAATGGTTTCTACAATAATAAGATATACTCGTAAAACATTAACCGAGACAACAAGAACGAGGAAGACATATTATTATGTCTTCCGGACGGATGGTACGGAAAACACGGCGATTTAAATTATAGAAAAATATTGATAAGTTTCATACGTACCATCAACAGTTTCGAAGACTCCTTTGGCCATCTGCGCTGAGATCCCGATACTGATCCATTCGAAGGGTTGTGTCGTGTTCCAATAAGTGGTCACAGCATCGAATTCAAACTTGTCATCAGGGTAAAAGAAAGTAGCCCCCTCCATTTCGCAAGTCTTCTTAGCGTCCACCCATTTCTTAAATAACGTGTGAATTTTGTAAAAGCTCTCAGTTGATTCGATATACGTATAGTCCTTACGGAAAAACTTATTTTCCCGTTGTCCATCTTAAAAGTGAAAATAAATTAACTTACCGTTGACTAATGGCTTGAATAATTTAAAAATTTATGAAACTTACGAATGAGTTCCGAAGGTAATAAAGTGAGAAGAAATAATATGGGAAACTTAAGATTATTCATTTTGAATTTAAAAATACGTTCTATATTTATTCTATACAAAGACACGAGTAAGCACGACCGAGCGTCGCGCCAGAATGAGATGTTCAAATTCACAGACTTCCATGAAGTGTAAAACCTTTTTTGTATGACGCATACAAAAACGAAGAAACTTGTTTATACACGTACGTACATACATACATAATAATATGTATAAATTAGTATAGCTTATGTTTTGTTCCACTAATGTTTGCTTATGAGCGCTTTTGGATTAAAAAATTTTTAAGTTCTTAGCTAACCCTAAAATTGATTGATGATTAAAGTATTGTGATTTTTACTCCGAGTCCGTATATTCCATCCATTCTACAGAGGCTTGAGTTTATGGGAACGGCCGGTGTGGCATACGATTGAGACTTCTAATTTTTGTCTCAAGGGTAAGCCTCAAGGGTAAGTCTTTAACGCGATGTAGATCGTGAGCTCGTTCTCCAATCTGTACACAAAATACCCTCATAATGAAGTGTGATATTGGATGGACAGACGTATGTCAAAGCCGCATAGATTATCTTCGACGTGGTTCATTCTGGCGCGAAATAGCTATGTTTTTACATTATGGCAAGATATCGTTTAAAGAAATAAAAGGCGCATCTACATTATATTATTTTCATTAATTCTCTTGTCTAGGCTAAGGTTTTTTGACTTACGTCAGTACGTCTTCAGTTAGGAATGTTGATTTGGAACCAACATAAAATATTCTGATTTGGTAAATTTCGTAAAACAGAATTACTAAATTTTCGAATACCTCTTTGAGATTTATGATGACAAAAGTTATCGTGTTTTACTAATCGCATTTATGTTTCATAGGCATATAAGTAAATTGTTTAAGTATTATTTTTTATGTATAAAATAGCAATATTATCGTTACATGGTTGATATTTATAAATATATACTTTTTTTGCAATCTATAAGTACACTGCCATTAATTTCCTTCCTGAAATGATTCTAGTTCACTTGATGATTGTCTGGAAGAGATCGCTGTTAGCGATAAGGCGGTCCATCCTTCATGCATTTGTGTTTATTTTGGTGTGCAATAAAGCATAGTTTACTCTAAATGGAACTTTTGGACACTTAAAAATATTAGTCAGCCATAAATATAATAAAATAGTTAGGTGTCAGTTCTGTTAACTAAGATTGGTAGAGCTTGCCGGTCCCAAGGTGCTTCCGGAGTTCATGTGAATGTCGTCACTGATCTTTGATGTAGAATTCTCAATTATATTGTACCAATAATTATAATTTGCGTAATTACTGGTGGTAGGACCTCTTGTGAGTCCGTACGGGTAGGTACCACCACCCCGCCTTTTTCTACCGTGAAGCAGTAATGCGTTTCGGCTTGAAGGGTCGGGCACCCGTTGTAACTATACTCAGAGCTTAGAACTTATATCTCAAGGTGGGTGGCGCATTTACGTTATAAATGTCTATGGGCTCCAGTAACCACTTAACACCACGTGGGCTGTGAGCTCGTCCACCCATCTAAGCAATAAAAAAAACTGGTGATTAAGATTTTATATTCGAAAACATAGCTTGGACCACATGCTACAATTAATGAAATAACTTAAAATAAATTCTCTCTCTCTCTCTTTCAGCTCACAGATGTCCACTGCTGGACATATGTCTCGTAACAAAGACCAGTCCTGCGGTGTCTGCTTCCAGCGTATAAATGAAGCAAAAAGTGATTATTATTCAAACGATTAATTTATAATAAAACATATTGTATTTGATAGCTAAATACCAAACTAAATGATTTATTATTGTACTTAATAAATAGGTATTATATTATAGTTTTGTATTTCTTGTTTATACCTGAGACCTTAGAACTTATGTCTCAAGGTGGGTGGCGCATTTATGTTGTAGATGTCTATGTGCTCCAGTAACCACTTAACACCAGGTGGACTGTGAACTCGTCCACCCATCTAAGCAATAAAAAAAAAAGTTTCTTGAAGATCTTTACACTTCTCTTTTGCAAATTTTTTTACGTAAGTTTTTTTACGTTGGTCATCGGAATGTTTTTGAAAATGGAGTTACAGAAAAGTTCATGTGGGAACTTCTTCACACCAGCTTTACTTATTAAAAGCATCTTAGGTTCATACCACATGATGCTTAGAACCGAGTTAAAATGAGCCAAATTTTTACAATTAATTTCCAGGTTTTTTTTATTCCTTAGATGGGTGGACGAGCTCACAACCCACCTGGTGTTAAGTGGTTACTGGAGCCCATAGACATCCACAAAGTAAATGCGCCACCCACCTTGAGATACAAGTTCTGAGGTCTCAAGTATAGTTACAACGGCTACCCCACCCTTCAAACCGAAACGCATTACTGCTTCACGGCAGAAATAGGCAGGGTGGTGGTACCCATCCGTGCGGACTCACAAGAGGTCCTACTACCAGTAAAATACAATATTGATTTGCTAAAATTATTCTAAATTTCATTGCCCTATGCTTTTGGTGATTACATATACTTACATATACATATACTTGTGACTCCCATCATGATTCTCCTGTCCTTCTCCTAAGCCCCGGGGGCTGGCGCAACATGTTTTCTCCTTTCATACTCCTCTATCATATACCGTTCCTTCGCTCACTCCCCTCTTACACATATCGTCTTTCACGCAATCTTGTGAACCCTTTAGTAAATAAATAAACACATTTAAAGCTTTGGGATTTAAAAAACGAATACACTTACATATCGTATTACACTTACATGCACTCGGGCAAGATCACTGACCCTGCACTGGTAAAATTAAAGAAATAATGTATATAGCATTCACATCTTTCCTGTTATCTTACCACCAAACCCTAGCTGAATTGGTCTTAGTAAAAGTTGGAAAAATAATGATTAGAAACGTACAATTCTCCATTGTATTTTCCTCAAAATACTGCGATCGCAAAAAATGTTGAAATGGGAGAGTACAGTTAAGTTAGCTAAAGCGCACTCCTATTGGACGAGCCTTTCGTGTGACGTCACGCACGTCCTGCATCAACCGGACACAGTTCTCGTGTGGCCTAAAGGATAAGACGTCCGGTATTCGTATCGAGCGATTTGACTATGTCAGTGTTCAAATCCCACAGGCAGGTACCGATTTATCTATGGAAATACGTACATAAACATGTTCATGAATGCTTTTTACAATTGAGGAATTACGTGGTGTATTCAGCCTCGCAAAATTTAATTCGCACAATTGCTAGTAGTAAACTGTATTGTCTGCGTGGGTAGGTACCACCTCCCTATTTCCGGCGCGAAACAGTTACGCCTTCTGGTTTGAAGGGCGGGATAGCCTTTATACAAATGAGACTTAGACTTTAGCCTCAAAGTGTGTTGCGGTATTCATATTGTGTTGATTACGATAACAATTTAAATGCAGGTCGGCCTTAAGCTAAACGAACAAACACACAATGCATTCGGAGTAACGATAAAGCCATTTTATTGTTTTGTCAAAATTAACGCTAATCTAGGTTTACTGGTGGTCTGGAGGCCTTTCCCGCTTAACCAGGACAGGTGGGCGAGCAGAGGCTTAGCCCGGTGGGGTGGGATTGGCTAACAGGTGCCCGAGCGCGTCCGAAGAAGACCTAACAACTCGAGAGCAGCTGTTTCGCGGATGAATCTACTACCGGATCGAAATCGCGACCCGTTGAGAAGATCCGGCGAGAAACTCAGCGGGCTGATGCATAGGTAAGGTTGCACGTCGAACTCTTTGTCGAGTTCGACGAGTACGGTTACCGGGGTCCCTAAGCCTGCTCCTAGTGTTAGAGCTGAAGGCGTCTAATGCAAAGGTTATTGGATCTGATGGATCCGTAAGGACATGTCTAGGGCAAATGCTAATCATTCCGAGGCGCATGCTTAACCGATTAAAATATTTTATTTACGTAATCTAAATAATAAAACAACGGTCGAATTGTTAAATATTGTTGGAATTAAAGCTATATGAGATTCAATATGATTTCATAGTTTATTCGATTACAAAAAATCATCCTTTGTAACCTTGGCTTTTTGAATAAGCTATGCACAAAAAAACAAGTTATGATTTACGATAGAACATTTTCTCTCGCAGAATTTGTTTTTTGTATCCGGCTCGAAGTGCAAGTATTATATTCGTGAATCCGTCATAAGGAATTTCAACAAAGAAGTCTAACAATCACGTTAAGTTTTAGTCAAAATCCCGGAGCCCCCGTAATTACGTTCTCTCATCAAAGCAATACAATAATTGTGTTCTTCATAAATATGATACGTCCGTCGTTAAGAACTAATTCAGCAATACCGTGCACACTTTACGGTTTTGAAAACGTAACATAAATGTTTTTTTAAACATATGCTGATAGCCTTGAGAGGCTATTTCAGCTTCACCCTAACGAGTAAGTGAGCTTACGGGGCTCAAACCGGAAGTGTTGCTAACACTGGCCTTTGGTCATTGGCGGAAGTGTTGCTAACACTGGAACTTAAGCAAGAGCAATGTGCGCAGAATCCACCACCGGATCGGAAACGCGTACCCACTGAGAAGATCCGTCGAGAAACTCAGTGGGCTGTGTCTATGGGTTAATTTACTCGTCGAGCCCTTCGTCGCAAGCGACGGGTTTGGCGAGGACGGTGACCGGTGCTTGAGGCACCTAAAAACATCGGTAACGGATCGGGAGGATCCATAATGACGTGTTTAGGGCAACGTTAACGTAAGAGATTTGATCCACGCTTCGGTTTTTTTTTCTTTTTTTCACAGTATGCTTAAAGTTCGATCAAAAGCCTTTTAAGTTAAACAAACCGAAATGCAAGGTTTCATTGAGAATTCGGTTATTGCCAAAATATCTTAACACAATGTTACGGCCAGAACATAGATAGCGCTGTACGGCACCTCTCAACTAATTATGCAAAACTGATGCAAGCGGTGTTTGGACATAAAGGACACAGGCTACGGAGATGACATCACGTATCCTAAAAGATTCAAGTATCTGACATTTATGTGGGAAGATAGATAGATTCTTTAGTTATAATTTGCGTGTTATTTTTACAGTTTTAGGTTGTTCACACTGGCACACTTGATCTGTTTAAAAAAAGGATCAACGTCAATGTCAGTTATTACCACGTTACGAGTGGTGTTTTCGAATATTTTGGTTTTAAAATCCACTAGTTTTCGCCCTGCAATCCCACATTATGATGCAGGGTTGCATGGTTGCTATGCAGGGTTGACTCAGTCACTCATAGGTCGCGACGTGAATGCCGTCATTCAAACTCCCTTTCAATTAGGATCGCGCGCTGTTTCGTGCAGAAATGGGCAAGATATTTACTGGTGGTAGGACCTTTTGTGAGTCCGCACGGGTAGGTACCACCATCCCGCCTATTTCTGCCGTGAAGCAGTAATGCGATTCGATTTGAAGAGTGGGGTAGCCGTTGTAACTATACTGAGACCTTAGAACTCATATCTCAGGTGGGTGGCGGCATTCACGTTGTAGATGTCTATAGGCTCCGGTAACCCCTTAAAACCAGGTGGGCTGTGAGCTCACGCACCTATATGTATATGCAATTAAAAAATGTATAAAAAGGTTATTGAAAAAATAAATAAAAGACAAGCGTTTTTTTTTTATAATTTTATCTTGAGGTGTAAGTTTATTCGCATAACAATATTTCATACAAATTTCCTCGTTTTTGTACCCACCTTCTTAGTTTTGTCTCTCTGGTTATTATCATTTTATAAAAGTTGACTCTATAAAGTTTTTAAACGTATCGTCATGTCTATATCCCTATAACTAATTCGCTTCACCGCTGTCGTTAAACATAACACAGACAATAATCAATGCAAAACAAATACATTAGGAGGGAAACAAGTTTATGTCACGTTTAAATAAAATAACATAATATAAATCAAGTGTACACGGAATGGTCACTTGTGTAGGAAGCGGCTATCCACTAACAGAGATTGCACACATAGCACTGGTATCAATATTCTAGCCAAACCGCGGGGCTGCCAGTTACACCTTATAAGAAAATTCGTTACTAAATAACAACTAAATCACTTTAAAATCAATTCAAAATGTACATTATTCGTCTTATGTAAACAAATCTAATCTGCTACAAAAAAAAAATAGTTTAAATACAAAGTTCGCTTAGTTTAGTCTTTCTATTATAAAATTATTCCCTTAAGTATTTAAAAAAAAAAAAAACACAATATTGAGAGTGAATACGTCACATCGCAACTCACTTGTGATTTCGAATTATTATATTATTATGCATTTCGTGTACATTCAACGAACGAACACTAGTATATTGCGTTGACACATTAAAACTAAAAATTGACTGTACAATTAATATGTAAATATTTGTACATATTGCACTCTGAAATAACAAAAAAAAAAATATTAAGAAATATTTGTCGAAACGAAGAATACATACGCAGAACGAATTGTCTCAATAAAATACGAAATTAGAGAAAACAGCAATCACAATGTTCGCAGCTCGTACACTATTCTAAGTCCCTATGGCTTACAAAGCTTACAAAAGATAAATACAGAGGTCATTTACAAAAAAATATATATATATACCCAAATAATATAAAAATAACAACAGCCATCTGTACTTCTTAGATGAATAAAACTAAAGGTACATATGTCAAACATATGACAATAGGATCTATAGGTCTCTATGTACAAGTTAATGGACAAGCGGTAGACTCCCGACCGGTCCACCTCAAACAAAACTCTCGAAGGCATCCAACCGGCAACGCCGGCTCCGCACCGTCCATTCCGACTGTAGTCAACTGTACTCGACTGTACTGCACTGTACTCCACACTGTATTCGACTGTACTTCACTGTACTCAACTACGCGCACGTGGTCGCTCGCGTGTGCCGTCTCTCCGTCGTCACAATCAGACACACAACTATCATATTCTCTCATTATCAGCTAAGACACGAATTAATTTTATGGTAGTTATTATTATTTTCTCGTTCGAGATTATTAAATACTAACAGTTTATTTATTACGTTGTCGATGATTATAACGTCGACAAACACGATCGCTCGTGCACCGACGGAAGCCGGATCCTATGAAGCTATTCATGAGACCTACGCGACGAACGACGTATAACATTTATTACTTATCGTATGGCAGTTATATTTGTCGAAGGCGAAATGCGAACGCGGAGCGAATCCTAACGTAGTCCACGATCGCACCGCACTAATAAGGCAACGTATCGTAGCTAATATTTCCATGATCGATTAACATCTAAAGACTACAATCGCGACGTATGAAAGATTCATCGACTTTAGATAAAAACTGTGAATTTATGATCACGCATACGAGATCGCACCGTGTATATTATACGTTTGTAATGGCAGTGTGTGTTATCGATGCGCCTCTGAAACCGTGGAGGCTTAAGACACTCCAGTGATAATTTGTGCTATGTACGACTAATGCTAAGTTAAATCGAAGAGTTATCTCTAAGCGAACTAGCACGGTCCTCGGTGCAGGTTCGATCGTGACGCGCTTGTATATATTTACATACAGGATAATTCTCCCGAAACGGAGACCGATATTAATTTGATAATAATGTCTCATGTTTAGTGAGCCCTTAATGGAACGCGTACAGAATCCATTGCGGTTTTTGTTCCATGATTTTACGTGATTCGTACTGCGATCACACGCACGCATTGCGGGCTCAAGCACCAAACGATTGTTTTCCTCCTTAAGTTAAGGTAATAAATATATTTTGTAGCTTTCGACTTCGGGAGCTCACATCCTGTACAGAAATGAATTTCATAAACAACAATCACACAAATTACGGTACGCTAAACACATTGAACACGCCAAACAGACACTTATCATTAGCATATTTATCGCGAAGTTTACAGATGACGAGATATTAGCGTGAATACGGAGCGAGAAAACGATATGGTGTGACAATAAATTACAACTATGTAATGTTAGTGGGAGACAGAAGGCTTCGAGACGGACACTGAGTACTGTAGTGCTCTAAACGAGTTCAGATTACGAACTCAATACGTGCTTATCACGATTACCGGTAAATGAGATCGATTAAATTTAGATTTTATTTACTATATTTCCATTCATCAACAGCGTAGACACAATTAGCTGATCCTAAAACAACTGTATTTTAGCGTCGTTACGGTACAGTTTCGTTTGTGATTATTTCAGTTAAATAAGTTGTTTTGTGTTTGTCTTGATTTGGTATATACGAAATCTGAGGGTAGTTTGTTTAGAATCGTTTGTAACACTTTTAAATCGCGTCAGATTTTTTCCCAAAAATGTATCAAAAAATATTTAGTAATATTAGGTAAATAAGTCATTGGCGTCACGCCAATGTAGATTTGTTAGACACGATGTTTTTAATCTTGTTCTTTTGTTTTTATTTGATTAACTTTTTTAGATTGGCAAACGAGCTCACGGCCCTTCTTGAGACATGAGGTTGAAGTCTCAAATTTGTACTGTAATATTGGTTGTCCACTTTTCGAACCGCGGCGAGCTGACAAAGAGATTTGCCAATGATGCTTTTATTGAAAATATATTGACTGGTACGTGTACAAATCAAAGTAAACCTTATGTGAATGTCACAAGTCAGATAGTTCATTAACAAAAGTAATGAAGACAGATCTAGGTGCCGGGCAACGTTGCTTGCGTGTCATCTACCACTCTCAACTAAGTTTGTTCCCACAGTAAGCTCGCCTGAACTTTGCTATTAGAACGAAAACATCATATAGATAAATTAGCTGCCTTTGTACTTTTAATGTTTAACCTAAACGAATACAGATGGCGCGACGTCTATATACATATCTAATATCCAATCTAGTTGCCATCGAACACGCTAACAACGTTGCAAACATAATATAAAAAAAATTATTTATTGAAGATTTATATAATGAAGAAATTATTGAGGACACCGCGATGTATCTAAACATTTATTAATCAATATCTGTCTTCATATGCGTGTGAATATAATCAGGTCGTACTGCGGCCCAGTCACCGATGACAACTCATTTATATTGTACTCAAAGAAATTTATCATAAACCTTATCCAGTTTTAGTTACACGTGAATTTTCATTTCGCACATTCTCATCATGAAATTAGATACAGCGTGTTCTAAATCACAGTAACGATTTTTTTTTTTTTATCTGAGTAGCGAGCACAGGACGAATGAACGCGAATCGAAATTAAAATTGACGGGACACGATAACACCTCACACATAAACTATATATAAACAAACATATTCCAAAACCATCGCACTATTAGCGTCGACCGCACGCTTTTGCTGAGAGCACGCGGCCGACACTGCGATCCACTCCTCGCCACATCACATACAAAAGGTCTACACCCGACGCTTCATTAATTTGGTAAATAAAAATAACTATCAACTTTACATCACGCATTCCATCCAATAGAAACATCTCTTCATATATTATTATTTTATTCTCTATGTAACTCTTATACGTCCGCCTTATTGAGACCATGAGAAGTCCGGAGCGGCCTAACTGCTTTGAACCTGTGTTAACTGTTAATATATTAATTACTTCAGTTTCCTCTGTGATAAAATAAACCGTCGTATCTTAGTTAGGCTTCCGGTTCTTGGGGCCTCNCATTCCATCCAATAGAAACATCTCTTCATATATTATTATTTTATTCTCTATGTAACTCTTATACGTCCGCCTTATTGAGACCATGAGAAGTCCGGAGCGGCCTAACTGCTTTGAACCTGTGTTAACTGTTAATATATTAATTACTTCAGTTTCCTCTGTGATAAAATAAACCGTCGTATCTTAGTTAGGCTTCCGGTTCTTGGGGCCTCAATTTAGAGACGTACTTATAGAAAGTAGTCTTATCGTGGTCGCAAGGGCGCGACCGACGCAGCATCCGGTCAGAAACGAAACAAGTACGGGGCCGGACGGGCCTCGCCGTCAACACTATATATATACTCTCCAAACGTTCAACAACACATATAATCACTAATCTGTCACCGAATACGGATCAGCGCACGTTCACTAAAACTAGCCAGTCTATGAGCGTTCTCTCCTGGGGCGGGCGGAGGCTATAGCACCACCGGGTTGGTGGGCGGCAGCACCGTGGGATGCGTCGTGGCCACCTCCGCCACGTCCCAGATCTCCTCGAGGAACGGCGGCAGCTTCCTGTTCTTCAGCTTCAGCGAGATGCACATGTTGGAGTTTTGCGTGCCGAGCGTGCGTAGCTCGGTCAGCACGCTCAGGATCCTGCCGTAGATCACGGCGCAGCGCGACGACGCGCTGTTCTGGTTGATGATGTAAATTCGCAACGTGTTCAGGTAGTATCTCTGGATCTCTTCTACCAGCGACGGCTGCTCGAGCCCGGGCCGATCTGGAATGATTAAATATCCTGTTAGAAATTTAAAAAAATGCGAGGATTTTCTTTTTTAACGTGGTCAAATCGAGACTCATCTCATAGTTGGTTTCACACAAATTTTTGTATGTTTGTCGCTGCCTAACTTTAGGCGAGAGGTTGAAGTTTTCAAATAGAACCAGCAAAAAATTTTTTTTTAAAGAAATAGCAATTTTTGGTTAACGCATGATTTTGTTTCCATCCACATCGAAATCGTACACATTTGTATGTTTTTACTGGTGGTAGGACGTATTGTGAGCCCGAACGAGTAGGTATCACCACTTTGCGTATTTCTGCTGTGAAGCAGTAATTCGTTCCGGTAAATACTTAACCCTAAGGGAGGAGATGCATGTGACTAGGAGATGTATGGAAATGGTAATGCAAGGTAGAGGGGGAAGAGGTCGACCAAAGAAGACAGAGATGGAGTATCTGAACGACGATATGAGAGAAAGAGAGAGAGAGGAGTGCGTGTTGAGACGACGGTTGATAGAAGAGAATGGAATGGACAAATTCGCTGTGCCGGTCCCGCCTAGTGGGATAAGGTGGAAACAAATAAGAAGAACCATTTAACACTAGGTGGAACGTGAGCTCGTCTAGCAATCTTAAAAAAAGGCGTTCCTCAACCAAAAACTCATTTAAATTTTTTTTCTTAGATGTGCGGACGACTTCACAGGCCACCTGGTGTTAAGTGGTTACTGGAGCCCATAGAAATCTACAGTGTAAATGTGCCACCCACCTTGAGATATAAGTTCTAAGGTCTCAGTATAGTTACAACGGCTGCCCCACTCTTCAAACCGAAAGGCATTACTGCTTCACGGAGGAAATAGGCAGGGCGGTGGTACCTACTCGTGCGGACTCACAAGAAGAAAATGAATAGTAAATTCATGTACAATTCCACGAGTACTTTAAATTACTTTTTATACCAATTATTTATGAGTTCATTTTTCATTAATATCCACCAAAGTTTGAAACCCAACAAGAATTGTCACAAGACGTTCTACCACCAGTAAAAAATATTAAGACATAATATCTTCAAAATGACTCATTTGATGCGTACCTGAGAATATAACGATGGCCGTGAGCAGTGCAAAGTGCACATTGTCCATGCCCATCGCGAACATGCACCGGCAGAAGTGTAGGAGGTCTTCGATGACGTAGGCCATGCCCGCCTTGCGGTAGTTGTCGCGCGTGTACGCCTTGTTGTTGGCGAACAGCACGCTGTCGGACGCGGCGTCGTATCGCCTCGCCACCCGCAGCATCATCACCTCGCTGGACGAGGCCTGCAATGGAACGCGATGTAAATACTTCATTGAAATTAACTTTGTTTTTTTTTTTCCTACCTAGCTGAGAGCTTTGAGATGCTATTTTAGCGTAATCTTAACTAGTAGGTGAGCTCACGTGGTTCAAACCTGACCTAGCGAGAGCCGTGCTTCGCAGAATCTACCGCCGGATCGGAAACGCGACCCACTGAGAAGAGGCTGTGTCTGAGGGTTAATTTACTCGTCGAGCCCTTCGAGCAAGCGACGGGTTCGACGAGAACGATGACCGGTACTTGAGGTACCTAAAAGCACCGTTAGTGGATCGGGAGGATCCGAGATGACGTGTTTGGGGCGACGTCGACTGCTTTCCATTCTGTCCGCAAGATCAGGAATGTGAAATCAACGAATAACGGTATTGACGCTTTGATTAGTTCGTGACCGTGCGCTGAAGGTATGGTCTGAATACCCTAATTAAGTCCAATCGGTTTGATTCGGTCGCACGTCAGTCATCATTCGTCTGAAAAGTGTGGTAGTCGTTTGTTTTTCAATCTCATATTCGGGTTAGCGGCCTCTAGCCTTCCAGCCTCTAGCCTCCTCACTCATTACAGTTTACAGTAGGCGTTAATTTACATGACACTATTTTATTTAGGTCATGGCCCGCTGGTTTAGAAAAGAAGTCGTATAAAAACGCGATTGGGTAAAATATTATTCTTTTATAGCATTTCTTCAGTCAATCAATGTAAGCTACCACCGTAGTAGTTTTAGATAGCACCAATTTAGAATTCAGTTTCCTCTTTCACTAGAACGGACAAGAAATATATGTATATTAAACAAACGTATGAAGTAAATTTAAAATACATATTAAATTAGCAGTCTATTATTTGGTAGGAAGAAACAAGTTTGTATTATTGAGCAATGGCGAAAGATTTGCCCAGCGCTATTGCTGTGAGTAGCATAATTTCAAACTAGATTATGTGACTCATATAGACGTTGAAACAAGTTTCTTTACTAAGCTACTTCTGATTGTGATAAAAACAGAAACAATAATCAGAACTTACTTTTAATAAGGTGATTTGATCAGACTGTGATATCTTCGAAAAGCCCGGTAGACCCTTGGCGAACTCGACGATCAACTGGACCGTTAAGATCGTCATCTCCGTGATCTGGCGGAAGGGTAGATCGGATTCCTCGTCCTCTTCATCCGACTGCCAAGTCTGAAATAACATAGAGATAATATTGCTTGAGGCAAAGTACACGGTAATAAAAATTGAGACGTCAAGCCGAAAAACAACTGTCACTCTTGTAGAAATAATTTATTACCGTAATGTTTTGAGTATTTTTGAGATGCTAGATTATCATTTGCGATTAAGCGAGGTAATTATGAGATTAACGCATTCCAAATGAGATTTTTAGAAGATAAAAATCGTAGTTTGTTAATCCATTTATTATGAATATTATCAATGACGTTCTCATCTAATCATATTCACTATGATTTTTGGGACAAAATCCACATTCGAAAACCTAGATCAAAATGCTTTTTTTTTTTATTGTAGCTGATTAGCGTAAAAGTGCTAAATGTACCTCTTATGTTCAACGGCCATCGGAGATCATAAAAACCACAACATAAAAAGTCGTTTTGAGACATGATGTCGAAGAATTAGTGGCTGATGAACATCATTCAGCCTATAAAAACTTCAAGACAGAAACGATACGACGGCGATATTAACCGAAGCAAGCTGTCTACTGGTAGGCTAATTCTTATTGTTAATGTCCGGGAATGACAGACTTTTTCTTAACTTGTCTTTTTTTATTTTTTATTGCTTAGATGAATATAGACAATTTGAAGTCGTCGCGGCCTAAAGGATAAGACGTCCGGTGCATTCGTATGTAGCGATGCAACGCTGCTCGAATTCCGCAGGCGGGTACCAAATTTTTCTAATGAAATACGTACTTAACAAATGTTCACGATTGACTTCCACGGTGAAGGAATAACATCGTGTAATAAAAATCAAACCCGCAAAATTATAATTTGCGTAATTACTCGTGGTAGGACCTCTTGTGAGTCCGGGTAGGTACCACCAACCTGCCTATTGAACCTTCACCTGCCGTGAAGCTTTTTTTTTATTGCCTTGATGGGTGGACGAGCTCACAGCCCACCTGGTGTTAAGTGGTTACTGGAGCCCATAGACATCTACAACGTAAATGTGCCAACCACCTCGAGATATATGTTCTAGGGTCTCAGTACAGTTACAACGGCTACCCCACCCTTCGAACCGAAACGCATTACTGCTTTCAATAATTTTGCGGGTTTGATTTTTATTACACGATGTTATTCCTTCACCGTGGAAGTCAATCGTGAACATTTGTTAAGTACGTATTTCATTAGAAAAATTGGTACCCGCCTGCGGGATTCGAGCATCGCTACATACGAATGCACCGGACGTCTTATCCTTTAGGCCGCGACGACTTCAAATTGTCTTCTTGGATATGATTTTGTGACATGCATTTTCCCCAATTATATTCAAGTTCTAAAGCACTTCAATTATTTCCTAAGCAGATGACAATGTGTCAAAGTTCACGGCGTTCACACGTGAAGTTGAAACTGTTTATTTACGAGGGGACATCAAACGACGCCGCTCTTTTCCCGGTATAATATGGCAAAGGCAAGCGCTAAAAAATGTTTCATTAATTTAAAAGTATTAAATAAACGATCATCACCTGCGTTACTCTTTTGAGATCCTCGTCGGAGGGCTGCTCATATCCCTCCTGGTACCACACGAGCCTCGCGATCAGAGACTTCTGATTCGCCGACAATGGTGGTATGTTCTTCTGCCTGTTCTGCTCCATCAGCTTCTCCGAAAGATACCTCGGGACGACTTCGTGCTGCAAAAAATTCCAGCTCCACGTAAGAAACAATGCGATTAATATCACGCTTCACGAATGAATCGAATATCAATTAACATTAGGACGATGCTTTTCATACGTGGATTACATATGTAGCGCTATATATTTTTACTGGTGGTAGGACCTCTTGTGAGTCCGCACGGGTAGGTGCCACCACCCTGCCTGTTTCTACCGTGAAGCAGTAGTGCGTTTTGGTTTGAATGGTGGGGCAGCTGTTGTAACTATACTGAGACCTTAGAAATCATATCTCAAGGTGGATGGTGGCATTTACGTTGTAAATGTCTATAGGGCTCCGGTAACCACTTAACATTAGGTGGGGTGTAAGCTCGTCCACAAACCTATGCAATAAAAAAAATTTGCGTTGTTCGCTGCTTAGTGATCCTGAATCCGTGTGCGTCGCAACGTCTTATGGGTATACAGTACCGTCGCCTTTTAAAAATCATACTGCAAATTAAATTTTGATGGGAATGTTCAACTGTATATTTAAAATACATTAATTAACAGTTCATACACTAGTTGTTTTAAGAAAACTTAGAGTACCAACAACTGTTCAAATTTCAATTTTTACGGTCCAACAAACTCTCAAACAAGCAATGGTACAATTTTCTATTTATATTAGACGTAAATTCTCGTTATTAAGTAAAAGTGGCCGATATCTGTAAGTAATTTTTTTCTTATTTTTGATAACAGATTAATTAACGAAAACGCAACTATGAATAAACGAAATAAATAGATGAACATCTAGAATAAACTTACAATCCTGGCGGCCTCGGGCGGAGGTGGATCACATTGCATGATCGGGGGCATGTGGTCTTCGACTGTGGTCGTACTGACAGGTAATAATATTCCTTTGTCTTTCTTTTGCCTTTGCCTGTCTTTATTTTTACTGGGCTCCTGTATGACACATTCAGGCCTCATTCCTACCGCTAGACATTTCTTTAACCGACACTCTTGACATTTCCTCCTCATGTACATATCCATTTCACAGGCATGTCCAAATTTACAAATATATACTGCGTTTTTGGTGACACTCCGCCTGAAGAATCCTGAAATAGAAAAAGGCAAATCTGTTGTACGTATTCTCGTATCTTGAAATAATCTAGGGTACTCGGGGCATTTTAGTGTACCAAAACCTGTTTTTCGTCGATAAGATAACGCAGTCATACGAATCCGAAGGTTGGCTGAAAGGCGTGGGTCATTGACAGCGCCACGACAATACTACGTAGGCAAGTCGATTTTTATATTGCAAAACAAATAAGGAGGGACGTGCGTGTTAACGATTTAAATTGGACAAGATGACATGTTCGAATTGATTCTGTTTGAGTAACAAAGTATATCTGATGACTATATCGTGATAATACGCAAAAAGGTGGCATCCATTGNAAGGTTGGCTGAAAGGCGTGGGTCATTGACAGCGCCACGACAATACTACGTAGGCAAGTCGATTTTTATATTGCAAAACAAATAAGGAGGGACGTGCGTGTTAACGATTTAAATTGGACAAGATGACATGTTCGAATTGATTCTGTTTGAGTAACAAAGTATATCTGATGACTATATCGTGATAATACGCAAAAAGGTGGCATCCATTGTGGGTAGAGTAAGAGGAAGCACTAACAACGTCTTGAAGGTATTAGCAGAAAGACTGGATGGACTGGCCCTGGGTAGGTACATCAAGTTACATGTTCTACATGCTTGATGAGGCTGCCAGGGACGGAGTAGTTAGATTTACTTAAATACTAACATAGGCCTTAAGTTATTTGTAATACTAACACACTATGAGACTATGATGTCTTGAAATAAAATATTTTTATTTTATTTTATTATATACTAGCGACCCGCCCTCGCTTCGTTTCGGAAACATTAAATTTTATTATTGATAGCTGAATCCCGCGATCTTATCCGCGGTTATTGTCGTACCGCAGGTGAGGCCGCGGGGCGAAGCCAGTCTAAGAAAAGTAGCCTACGTTACTCCTTATATCAACAGCTACCTATCAGTGAAAGTCTCGTCAAAATTGGTTCAGCCGTTCCAGAGATTAGCCGGAACAAACAGACAGACAGACAGACAAAAATTGTAAAAAAAATTATTTTGGTGTACCTATGTACCGTATACATATTATATATATTCATAGGCATGTAGTAAAAAGCGGTTATTTCAATATTGCAAACAGACACTCCAAATTTATTTATACGTATAGATGGACATGACGATATTCAAATGACATTACGAATAGGTGGGTGAAGCGAGTATTTTAATTGCATACAGGAGTGGTTGGCTAACATGTCCAATTAGGTGTCGCTCAATGAAGCAACAGACGCCCTGCAGACAGTTATTGTGACGTTTCTGTCTCGACAACAACTGTGTGTACGCACAATTCACGACACAATGTGCCAATTCAACGCTGAATTGGCACGCTCATAAGCAATCAAAAAGGGCTATGTAAGTGGGTTAGTGTTGTGATACCTTAAACCGATCTGTTCTAGTTGATCATCAAAGTTTATAGCTGTAGTTCTTAATTTAATTATTTTTTGGTTTGGTCTCAGTATTGTATTAGGGATGTTTCGAATACTATATCTCATTACTAGTGGTAGGACCTCTTGTGAGTCCGCGCGGGTAGCTACTACCGCCCCGCCTATTTCTGCCGTCTAGTAGTAATGCGTTTCGGTTTGAAGGGTGGGGCAGCCGTTGTAACTATACTGAGACCTTAGAACTTATATCTCAAGGTGGGTGGCGCATTTGCGTTGTAGATGTCTATGGGCTCCAGTAACCACTTAACACCAAGTGGGCTGTGAGCTCGCCAACTCATCCAAGCAATAAAAAAAAAAGTTTTGTTGTAGTGGTGGTGTTGGACGGAGACGCCGGAAAAAATCTTCAAATCGAACCAAAGGAAAATGCTATACTTCTTAATTTATCGAATACAATAATATGGTTATTGTCTTAATTACTGGGATCTCCATACAATTTGACAAAATTTGTAAAGGAAATTCGCAAATATTTCCTTCCGTAAAAACATTTCCGTCGAAGCTTTTCAGTGTTTAATAATTATAAGATATGTTCTGTTCATACGACAGTAGAAGTGGGTTGACATTTATCTGTGTACTTTCTGAACTCAGGGTCAAATAAACTTAAGTTTAATAGCTCATATCCTGCGATATACGTTAACGAGACTCGATCACATGTCTGTTTTGCTATAATTTATCTGCATTGACAATAAATCATCTATATATCTATCTATATATATAAAAATGAATTTCTGTTGGTTAGCCTCCCTAAAACTCGAGAACGGCTGGACCGATTTGTCTAATTTTGGTGTTAAATTATTTGTGGAAGTCCAGAGAAGGTTTAAAAGGTAGATAAATATGTAAATGCTCGGAATTAAATAAAAATTAAAAAATTGTTTTTCCTTTGATGTATCCCCCCCCACCCCCGTCGAATGGATTCCTTTTGTTTGTTTTAAATTTATTTTATACAAAAGTTTAGGTTTTTTATTTATCAATTAAGTCTGCCGGGTCAGCTAGTTTCTAATAATTATTTAACATAACATTTTTTCTATGAAACATTTGTGCTCGAATTAAAAATACCTTTGCATCCTTCACACGTCAGTGCGTTGTAGTGGTATCCGGAGGCTCTGTCGCCGCAGACAAGACATAGCTCCTCTTGCTGTCGAGGTGCAGGACCTTTCTTCTGCCGTCTGGCGTCAGCATCAGCACTGCAGCCATTTATGCTTGAAGCCGGCGAAAGTTCCTCTCGACCTGAAGCAACAATTATGGTTTCTGTTTATTCGAAAATGCCTAGATTATTTCATATTTTTTTGCGATCGAATTAAATTTAATTTTTAAACGGCCATCTGGTGTAGTGGTAAGTGACATTGTCACTACAGAAGGGGTAGCGGGTTCGAATCCCGCCAAGGGAAGATATTTGTATGATAAATATAAAATGTCTTTTCCAAGGTTATGGATGTATATTATATTATATGTATGTGTATAATAAAAATCTTACATTTATTTCCGTTATCTGGTACCTGTAACACAAGCTCTTTACGAACTTAGCACGGGACCAGGTAACGTGGCGTGATCGTTAGATATATATTTATTTATTTAATTTAATTAAAAAAGCGACAAAGTACCCGGCTGGTATATTGAATTTTTAGAGACTGGTCTACCCTTTGTCATGTGGGAACATGATCATTTTGATACTTCAAAATCAGACATAATGCGAACTGTGACCTTGGTTCATGATTTTATTTTACAAAAAGGCTCACCATTTTTAAGTAAGTAAAAACCCATTAGGTACAATTAATTTGTAAGAAACTCTTGAAGAGATGTGTATTCCTATCGGCACTCTCACGTGGTTTTCGACGGCGGCGCGGACATTTCCTGCCTAAACAAAGGTGTCTAGCACGTGGTACGCATACCAATTAAATTTCGGTGGTTTTTTGTATTCGAGGCGCGAGTGGAAGAGTATCGTGGTGTGTGCCGTAAAAGTGTAAGAGGCAATTGTCAGTCACGCACTCGGAACTCCTTAGAAGTAATCGTGGAATTATTAACAATAACTAATCATACGATGTTTTTTTTTTTTTTACGACCAGTACGAAAACATTTAAAACCTTTAAAATGTTATATTTTTTTATTGCTTAGATGAGTGGACGAGCTCACAGCCCACCTGATGTTAAGTGGTTACTGGAGCCCATAGACATCTACAACGTAAATGCGCCACCCACCTTGAGATATACGTTCTAAGGTCTCAAGTATAGTTACAACGGCTGCCCCGCCCTTCAAACCGAAACGCATTACTGCTTCACGGCAGAAATAGGCAGGGTGGTGGTACCTACCCGTGCGGACTCACAAGAGGTCCTACCACCAGTAATTACGCAAATTATAATTTTGCGGGTTTGATTTTTATTACACAATGTTATTCCTTCACCGTGGAAATCAATCGTGAACAATTGTTGAGTACGTATTTCATTAGAAAAATTGGTACCCGCCTGAGATTCGGACATCGGTGCATCGCCTCAACACGTATGCACCAGACGTCTTATCCATTAGGCCACGAAGAATATATGTAACTTTATCAAGCTAATAATCTTAGTGGCGTACTGTTTCAATACTAATTAACATCGTTGCGATAGCTATCGTGTTGTCCAATTTAACAATACAAGTTTCATTTAACGACACAAGTTCACATGAGTCATAACGTCCATTATAGCGCTTCAAGGGCTCATGTGTGATCCTCTGGAATTCTCAATTTTATTTACACTTTTATTACGACCATTAAGTCTTTGAGACAGCCATGCAGGTACCTGCTTTACTGAATCATTCACTACATTAGCAGTCAGAATATAATCGAGAGATTTCGATTAGTGTTGTCAAGTAGTTTAAAATCGTCTCGTAATTTTTTCGAATAACTAGAGATGTGGCGCGAATTACAAAACACGAATTCGGATCAAATTGTATCGTGTTTACGAGGTTGTGCCAATTTTTTTTCTATTACACATTTTCTGTGTTGATCGTTTTAATCGAGCGACGTGAATACGTATTAACTATTAGTAATCGAATAAAACTGTCTCTATAAAGAGGTCAAGTGCGACGTTTTATCAGTAGGTTACTTGTGTGCGTTGGATAACACCCACTCCGTTATAAAAGTGCAGTTGATTGTTCTGCAAAACGTATCGATTGAACATGCATGATTTAATTTTAAACTAGATGATAAGAAAAATAGTATTATTATTCGCCAATAGATGTCGGGAAGAGTTGATTATTGAAAACACGAATAAAACAGCATTTTCTGAAAATAAATCGTAGCTAGATCGATTTATCGCCCCCGAAATCCCCTGTATACTAAATTTTATGAAAATCGTTGGAGCCGTTTCCGAGATTCAGATTATATATATTTATTAATATACAAGAATTGCTCGTTTAAAGGTATAAGATTAACGTAGGTATAACTTGTGTTTTTCTTCTGTTAATAATTGCTGAAAACTGTATTGTTATTATGGATTTTATGGTACAAGGCAGTCAAGAATGACTACATCAAATCGATTAGGTGTATCAACACTAAACATACCGTAACAGGTCAAATGACCCATTTGGAAATTTGCTTTGAAAATTCACGTATTTATTGCTTTTGCACATTTGACTTCATGACTTTTTCTTATCAATTAATCTACAGTTATTTTAATACTTTGTTTTGTTTATTTTGAGTAATGCTTGTCGTATATCATTATCTACCCCCTATGGTGGAAATAGGTACCAGTAAGTGTTGTTATGTTTAATTAGATTAGTCTAGTGTTAAAATTCGATTACTAAATTATTATTATTTTTTGCTTCGTATACTTCTCGGATATTTTTAATGAATATATTTCGTTGATGTTGTTGTAAATATTATTTGGTTGTCCGTGAAAGAGTGTACTAATCAAAAGTTGAATGCACGGATGACCGAGTCAGTGTGTTATGTTATTACGTCTCAGCTGTTCAGTGTTGCGCTCGCGCATCGGAAGGTCTAGTTCGTGGCGCGTCGGCGGAGTTCGGGCGGGCTCGGCGGCGCGAGCGAGAGGCACCGCGAGAGCGACAAGTGGGGCGCGATCGTCGACCGGGGGCAGCGTGCGGCCTTGACTCTTGAGTCTGCCCCCCCTCGCGCCTCCGCCACGTACATACACCGCGCAGCCAGATTATTTATGATAGCATCACAGCTCGCGCAGCATACTCGCGATTCTCTACGAACTAATAATAACCCGTTTTTCCTCTCGCACGCCCGCTAAGTTTCCTATGAATAGGTAAACTATTTCAACGTACATACTTTTGAATACATTAAAATTTGTAACATTGTGATTTTTTTTTATTCACAGAATTCGATCCAAAAGACAAAAGTGATGTAAGTGATTGCAGTGATTAAACAATGCGAAACTTTCACTGACCTCACAAAACAGATAACGCAACGACTTCGCAGGCGTGCCGCGTAAGCGCCTAGTGAAAGTTGCCCAAAAGTAGGTATTGCACAAGCCTACATCGCACACGTAATTGAAATTCGGGTGCGGCGAAAGTACGTTCTATGTATTGTGACATCACTATTGAGGCCTCTGTTAGTATTCATTTATGCTCTATGGCGTGTATATTTTGTCAGACCGGATTGCATACAGAAACCAATCAGTGTCGGGCCTTCTGTTTTCAAACGAAATTGTAACCATGTAAAAGTCACGGTGGTCTCTAGCTATTACCGCCTACATTTGTTTAGTATCAATTATCGCATTAGTTAGTAAGTAGCCGCAATTACGATAACATGTTAATTATTTTCCAGTCCAGCAGCTGCTTTATTAAAAATAATAACGTAAAAAGTGTACACGTGATCGATGCATCGTCGGGGCGTCTCGCGATGTTACTTTCTACGATACTTTCTAGCAAGAGATGTGGGCCGAAGCCAGCGCAACTAGAGCGATCGGTTTCTCCACGCGCCGGGAAAATCGGATTGAAATAGAAATCGCAACGTGGGGAAAATCGCATTTTCACGTCACTACGCACGCCAATGGAAACCGTTTCTTACGAACCAATGAAAACTAAAAATACAGCACAGTTTGGTGTAATTTCAGATCTGAGCACGAGTGTCTTCAATCATCCTGTTACCAGATTTACGAGCACATAAACAGGTCCGAAACATCATGGAAATTTAATATAGTAGACAAAGTCGAGTTTTAATGGCGCCGTTAAGTTTGTCTCGTGAATGAAACAGCATTGTCCAGGATGAAGTAGGGCGGCGAACGAGGGATCTTCAGCGAGAACGGACGCACGTGGAAGTGTTTACATCCGTCGGGTATCGCGTCCGGAGTGCGGAGTGCACGGCATCCGGTTTTACATATACCGCGGCGGCGCTTCCCCGGATAACGCGTTACAGCTGTTGAAACTCTCGATTCGTCGTGTATTCCTTCAGTGTATTTGCGCATCATTTTCCCAAAGATCGTTAAATGTTAATGATTTTGTGCAATATTGTAAATATTACAGGAAACTGATAGAATGACGGAATTTAAATTTTATTTTCAGTATTTATGTAGTATTTAAGAGTTTAGGGTTAACAAACATCAAAGACAATGCGGCGATGATTGTTTTTTTTTTCAATAAATTCATCCTCTATTTGATTAATGGAAAATCTTATATAATGGCTTTCGAAGGAAATTACGTCGCTAAGTGAATATAATTGTTGACGTAACACAACCATATTACATTAAATACGAACACCCAATAGTAACAATTCCGTACTGAAATCGTGATGAGCATAAGGAATTGTTACATACATTTTTACTCGCAATAGCCAAAGAGAAACATGTCAAATAAGATAATACAGTTAATTATTAGACCTAATTAATAGGAAATGTATTTCGATAAAAGTCTCATGAGTTATTTAATTTCCTCAGAACGTCTTAGGAATATGTTTCGGACTTATTACTCTTTGGAACTGAGTTTTAAATTTCTTCTAGGTATAAGAGTTCCGACAAGATACAAACTTAGTTAGAAATTTTGATATGTTCTAGTAAATTTGGAAGCAAAAAATATTGATTTATGTTTTTTTTTTCGTTATAAGCGAAGCCGTAAATTAGAAAGTGGCGATCAGTTAGCACGTAGGCATGGTATGAGACGTACGTAATGGATACGACAGGGCTCCCCAGCAGACCCAGTATGTTTATTGACAGAAATGGTTTACACCTATCTCTTTTCTGTACGTTGTGACCAATAGATAAAACTAGGCTTTTTGTCTCCCTCTCTCT